GGTGTGTGTCCTCTCCTCTTTTTTCCTAAAATCCATGATTAGCTCCTTAATTTTGCTGATGTTGAGACAAAGGTTGTTCTTTGTGCACCACCCTGCAAGATTGGTAATTTCCTAACAATTTAAAGTCTTACTGCTGTTTGAAATCTGGCCGATTATAGTGATGTCATCCAGAGTTCTCCTCATGTCTGGGGTTGCAGTCATGAGTGTACAAGGTAAATGAGAGGGGTCTGAGCACACAGCTCTCAGGGGCTCTGATGTACAGCAGTAGGGTGGAGGAGGTGTGACTGCCAATCCAAACTTTCTGGGTTCTGTTTGTGAGGAAGTCTAATACACAGTTGTAGAGTGTGGTACTCAAGTCCAGAGTGTCAGGTCTGCCATAAGTTTCATGGCGAGGATTGTGTTGAATGCTGAGCTGAGATCAACAAACAGCATTCTGATGTAGCTAAGTGTTGTTATTTTCAAGGTGAGTGTGAAGGCTGAGTGGAGGGGAGTGGAATGCAAACTGGTAAGGGACCAGGGTGGCTGGAATGTTGCCCTTGATGTGCTGGAGAAACAGTTCCCAAAGCACTTCCTCAGAATGGAGGTGATTGCACAGGATAAACTGAATTTTGGACTGACACTCCCAGATAATGTGATTGGGAGTCGAATTACTCAGCATGTACAGTCAATCGGATCCAAATTGGCCTTGGCATTCTGTGCGGGCTCCACAGTTTCCATCCCAGGCTTTGACCCGCAAGTCAAATGGCATTAAATGCAAAACAGAAGAAGAAGCCGGTATCAACAAACACCATAACCACAAGGGATGGCATGCATCTCATCTGTACAAAAAGTAAAGCATATAGAACAAACAAAATGTACAGTGCTGTAAAGCTGTCCACCATGGTACCAGTTTGCCGCTAGCTAACCATAGCTCATTTGTTTGACGCTTATTTGGTCTGTGATGTAATAGGTCAACTGGAAAAAGGTCCAATACTAACAAGCTGAAGGAGGGCATATCGCCATCTATCGTAACAGAGTTGGACATACTTCGGTCAATAAATTGATTTCCCTCCCGTGCTTGTATACTGGGACAAGGACAGTAGTCCAATTAAATGGCCTAGTCAAGCTATAACCATAGGCTGACTTAACTGTGCATGTAAAGATACTGACTGCAGACATTTAAGGATGATGGTGGCAGTCCTCAAGGATTTGTGACAGAGATATGTCAGAAATGTTAGTAATGACACTGACTAGTTGGTTGGCACATTTTAGGTACACAGCCAGGAATGTTATCAGGTTTTACTCACATTCACTTTATGCAGTGTTTTACTGGCAGTCACTACAAGGAAATATGACTTGTTTTTATTGCATTTATAATCAATTTAAATCTGTATTGTTTTTGTATAATTTCGCCTCTAATTCAGACAGCTTATAGTACAGTTACTTGTGGATATTACAAGTAGAGATGTGATCATGTTGTATTGTGCTAGCTCGTGCTATCCAGGACAGAGAGACGGTCCTTCAGAGATACATTGAACAGCAGTAACAGCTAACTGTCAGCAATCAGCTGTAACTGCACCCCAACCCCCCCAAATAGATTTTAATTCTATGGGAAACACTGAATGTTCATAATAATAAGCTCAGAATCTAAACTATTTCTGCATTTTTCACTTGACATTGCCATTTCATTGCAAAAAAAATCATAAATATTCCAACATGCATCTCAATTTTTATTTTTGTTTTTTTGTTTTTTAGAAAAGCTGTGAAATCAGGCATTACAGGCCACAACAATTGAAAAAACAGCCTGTGAAATCCTGGAGGGACTGATTGAAACACCTGCTTTGAATGTTGTCAGTTGATTGGATGGGCATTATTAGTGGTTATCAGCCTCATAGAGATGGGTTAGAAGGGCCATGCTACACCTACTAGCAGGTTAAGTAGATCAAACTCAGCCAGCAACCTCTAGTGGCTATAGTAATTGTGATGGTTGCAGTAGAGGAAGTCAGGTGACATATCATAAAGAGTGACAAAATCTGTTAAGGAGGAGGTCGGGGTGGGTCACAAACACGGGACTTTTACCCAGGATACCACTGTTCAAGTATTGTGCGTAACTAAAAGTCAACATTAACTTACATTAACTGGCGTATGTCAGTTTGTTACCTTATGTTATGCCAAGTTACAATACACCATGTCATGCAACAAACCCAAACCATTTTTCTAAACCTCACCACACAGTTTTGGCACCTAACCCTAACAAAACTGCAAGTGAAACCTGACGAAACAGCAATCATTTTAAAAGGCTGATAATGGCCTTCTGAACCTGCTAGTAAGTGTAGCAGGCCACTTCTAACCCATATCTATGTGGCAGATTACAACTCATAATGCCCATTTGTTGAGTAATAACACTTGAAAGGGGTGACTGAGGTGTGATGTGTTAACTACAGCTATTCAAAGTACATGAATACACACACTTACATATCCTCGATTACAATGCTCAAGAACCAGAGCTAATTTGGTGCATAAGGGTGTAATACAAGCCTATGAGGTGTCAAACAATTTTTCTGTTCATGCAGCTGTAAGAGCAAGTGCCACTTTAGGAACCTATTTTATCGATTGCAATCTGAAATTATGGAAAACAGAATTCAGAAAGTTAGGCTGCATTCAGTGATTCAATGATAGAAAGAGACTGTATTTACTTACTTGTTCCCATAAATTCTAATCCTTACTTCCTAAAACCTCCCAAAAAAAGGCCTGAGGAGAATCAGCTCTATGGCTGCGCTCCTCTGAACATCCGTGCTTTAAAGCTGTAGTTTGTAACTTTTGTCATATTTGCTAATACTTTCACTATATTCACACAGTACGAAATGAGACAAGTAATCTGTGAAAAAGTGTCAGACTCCTCTGCCTACTCTATTGCATGTTAGAATTTCTAATAGCTTTACTGCATATGAACAAAAACAACCAAGCAGAGTCGAAGAGTCATTCATTATGTTTACATGCAGAAAGGTCGAACTATAGTTATATCTCAACTGGGCCATTTAATTGGACTACTGTCTTTGTCCCAGTGTGCAGGCATGGGAGGGAAATACATTTATTGACTGAAGTACAGTACAGGCCAAAAGTTTGGACACACCTTCTCATTCAATGCGTTTTCTTTATTTTCATGACTATTTACATTGTAGATTCTCACTGAAGGCATCAAAACTATGAATGAACACATGTGGAGTTATGTACTTAACAAAAAAAGGTGAAATAACTGAAAACATGTTTTATATTCTAGTTTCTTCAAAATAGCCACCCTTTGCTCTGATTACTGCTTTGCACACTCTTGGCATTCTCTCCATGAGCTTCAAGAGGTAGTCACCTGAAATGGTTTCCACTTCACAGGTGTGCCTTATCAGGGTTAATTAGTGGAATTTCTTGCTTTATCAATGGGGTTGGGACCATCAGTTGTGTTGTGCAGAAGTCAGGTTAATACACAGCCGACAGCCCTATTGGACAACTGTTAAAATTCATATTATGACAAGAACCAATCAGCTAACTAAAGAAAAACGAGTGGCCATCATTACTTTAAGAAATGAAGGTCAGTCAGTCCGGAAAATTGCAAAAACTTTAAATGTGTCCCCAAGTGGAGTCGCAAAAACCATCAAGCGCTACAACGAAACTGGCACACATGAGGACCGACCCAGGAAAGGAAGACCAAGAGTCACCTCTGCTTCTGAGGATAAGTTCATCCGAGTCACCAGCCTCAGAAATGGCAAGTTAACAGCAGCTCAGATCAGAGACCAGATGAATGCCACACAGAGTTCTAGCAGCAGACCCATCTCTAGAACAACTGTTAAGAGGAGACTGCGCGAATCAGGCCTTCGTGGTCAAATAGCTGCTAGGAAACCACTGCTAAGGAGAGGCAACAAGCAGAAGAGATTTGTTTGGGCCAAGAAACACAAGGAATGGACATTAGACCAGTGGAAATCTGTGCTTTGGTCTGATGAGTCCAAATTTGAGATCTTTGATTCAAACCGCCGTGTCTTTGTGAGACGCAGAAAAGGTGAACGGATGGATTCCACATGCCTGGTTCCCACTGTGAAGCATGGAGGAGGAGGTGTGATGGTGTGGGGGTGTTTTGCTGGTGACACTGTTGGGGATTTATTCAAAATTGAAGGCACACTGAACCAGCATGGCTACCACAGCATCCTGCAGCGACATGCCATCCCATCCGGTTTGCGTTTAGTTGGACGATCATTTATTTTTCAACAGGACAATGACCACAAACACACCTCCAGGCTGTGTAAGGGCTATTTGACCAAGAAGGAGAGTGATGGAGTGCTGCGGCAGATGACCTGGCCTCCACAGTCACCGGACCTGAACCCAATCCAGATGGTTTGGGGTGAGCTGGACCGCAGAGTGAAGGCAAAGGGGCCAACAAGTGCTAAACACCTCTGGGAACTCCTTCAAGACTGTTGGAAAACCATTTCAGGTGACTACCTCTTGAAGCTCATAGAGAGAATGCCAAGAGTGTGCAAAGCAGTAATCAGAGCAAAGGGTGGCTATTTTGAAGAAACTAGAATATAAAACGTTTTCAGTTATTTCACCTTTTTTTGTTAAGTACATAACTCCACATGTGTTCATTCATAGTTTTGATGCCTTCAGTGAGAATCTACAATGTAAATAGTCATGAAAATAAAGAAAACGCATTGAATGAGAAGGTGTGTCCAAACTTTTGGCCTGTACTGTATGTCCGACTCCACTACAATGGGTGGCGATATGCCCCCTTTCAGCCTGATAGCATTGGACCTTTTCCAGCTGACCTATTACATAAGAGAAATATATCTATTGAGTGCATATAAAAGTCTTAGATCTTGAACTTAAACCTGTGAAAAATGGGAGCAGAAACAAAAGTGTTGTGTTTGAATTTATCATCATAAAAGTTAACAACTGTTTCTTTAACTCTGATGTATCTGTGTGACCTTCTCTTCTTTACAGACCCTTACCACCCAGAATGATGACAAAACAACTCAACACAAAGCTCTGAAACACTTTTATTTTGGATAAGTTTTACTGCTCTACATATATTTGTCTTTTCTTGCCCTTCACACACAGAAAGAAGACAGAAATGAGCTGAGAGATTACAACTATAGGCACCCTTAAAAAATGGTCAATTTCTATTAGTTTCGGACATTTTAAATCAGGATGTTTTTTTGAAACAATGTGTTAAAGTAATAGCTCCATGGGTAGCATTTAAAACATAATGAGATCATTAACAAAGCATGTGTGAGCTATAAACTGTAACCTAAACCTTTGGCAATACAATAAAGATATGCTTCCTTAGCTTGCTTAAGTTTCAACACAGTCTCAAAGACATATGTAAAGTGGACATCATGTCTTAACAATGCATTACATGGTGGTGAGAATGAAATGTGTAAACATTATGCATTGGCAACACAAAACAGTGCCAAAGTCTATCACTAACAGTCACAGTTGTAATGTAAAGCTGTCATAGTTTGGTTAAGTTAAAGGAGGAAAATAATGCTTAAGCTTTAAGAACAAAGAAATGGTTGGTTAAGTTTACGAAAAGATTGTGATTTTGGTTAAAGTAAATACATAGGGGATGTAAGTGACAGAAATGCATGCAAGTACCTACCTAAAGTACTTTGTTATTGCAGTAAAATGTTTCTAATTGACAAAAATAAAAAATCATCATTTTTGTAGGCTACCGAAAGTTTAATTTGTATTTGCAATATTAATGATTCATAGAAATATACTTGTATCAATGCAATTGACACGCATTTTGACACACAAAATACTGTTATGCCATGCTGAATCAATTTCCCCCCACACAATCTCCTGGTTGAGAGTCCATGTTTGTTTGAACCATCCACCACTGCTCCTGCCAACCCTACACAGGGTCTCTCACTCTTTGTTCTTTACTCATGAGTCCATCACAGCTAAAGATCATCACTGGCTTTGCACTGGTTTTGTTTTTTGTTGCCAGTGCATAATTTTAACACATTTCGTGCCCATCACCAAGTAATGCCTTGTTAAGATTTGGTGTCCATTTCACTCATTTCTATGAGATCAGGCTGGGAGTTTTCTGCATTTGCCACAGAGTGCTAGCAGTAGCAGAATTACACAGTCATATTCTAATATCAGCAAGTAATTTATACTGTACAGGTCTAAGGGTGTCTCTTCTCAGACTGTTTAAGGTACTACAAAACCTCTAATTCCCAAATATCTAGTCATTATTTTTGATAAATTGAGACCACATAGTTAGGTTTAAATGTACTCATGGTCATTTAATAAGAGCACTGTTTCTTTTCTTTGAAATTAAAACTATCAATTGAGTCAAAAGCCAACTGTGGGTTTCTCTCTATTGCTCTCTGACTACTGCACAACAAGCTGCCCATTAGCAAGGTGTGACACTTGCAGAGTGTGTGTACAGCAGCAGGGGCCTGACTGGAGCTCAGCTCCTGGCAGCCAACATGGAGATTAGTGAAGGAAAAATAAAGCATGCACACTGAACATCTTCCACTCAAATCTTTTGTTCTCCAGCTGCTCTGAAACTCAAGTTTGTTTGGCTGATGAAAGAGGCTCACGTTGAGGAAGACTAGAGACCCTCCTGCACCTTCATACATGATATTCACCATGTTAAATTCATATCAGGATGTCTCGCTAACACACGTCCATCTGTAATGAAGGAAAAGGGTCAAGCAATAACAGCCATCATGACATGCACATCAGACACATAAAAAAAATCTATTTGTGCTAAATAAAAATAGTACAACTGTACTGTAGAGTTAAGAACTACTATAGAATCTTTTAGCCAATTCTATTTTATCATATTCAATTAAAACAACCCTGCAGCATTGTTTCGGGTCAGTCATGATACTGCATTGATTAAACAAGACCACTGTGTTGTTTCAGCTGAATAACAGATTCTTTTTGCGAGCTCCTATAAAGGTGATATAGTTACTATGTTAACAAAAAGTGGCACAATTCAACATGCAGCAGACTCAGAGCAACATGATTGTCCCATTGGAATGGTGTTTGTGTCCAACTGATAAATTTTTGAAGTTCATCATTCACCCTTCTTTTAGCTCTGGTGTGGTCTCCACCAATCTCTAGAAAAATGTTTGTGTTGTACGTTACTGAAAACCACAGTTACATTTGTATATTATGTTGCCCATACGTTCCAACTTGTTTGTTTCATTACATTTCAACAACACTATTGTTGACGTGTGGTTAGGTTTAGGCACAAAAAGCACTTGGTTATGGTAAGGAAAAGATCATGTTTGGCCTTAAAAAAACACAGTCTGTGGCACAATTATAGTCAGAGAAACTTTTAATGTCTCAATACAAAACAGCTGCTTTTTGTAAGTCAGCTCATGTGCTATGTAACTTCAGAAACATTGATAAGATACGTATGCAACATATTTGTGGTTTGCAGACACATACAATACCAACATTTTCTTCTGATGACTGGGCTGCTCTTTAGCTGCTTGATTCCCCACTATGTATTCCAACTAATCTTTTTAATAAGTCCGTCTGCTGTTTGCTGCTGGACAGGTAGTGTACTGTAGGTTTATCAGAGCTTCTACACTCAAACTGATGCTGGAAATGAGGTTGACGAGAGCAGAGTTTGAATTAAAAGGACAAGGTAAAAGATGCTAAGATGCTCTGTGAAGCTGAGGGGAACTGCAGACTTGCGGATACAACGACACCCTTCATGTTACTTGGAGGTATCTGAACCACTGGTAATCTTAAATATTGATTAGTTTTGTTTAGTGAAGTGTGGCCCTGGTTCCAAAAAAGTTGAGACACTGTATAAAGTGTAAATAAAAACAGAATACAATGACTTGCACATCTTTTTTGACCTATATTCAATTGAATATGTTCAGAGACAAAATATTTAATGTTCAAACTGATAAACTATTGTTTTTGTAAATATACACTCATTCTGAATTTGATGACTTCAACACATTCCAAAAATGTTGAGACAAGGGCAACAAAAGACTGGGAAAGTTATGGAATGCTCAAAAAACACCCAACATTTCACAGGTAAACAGGTAAATTAGCAACAGATTTAAGTATCACGACTGGGTATGAAGGGGACATCATCAAAATGCTTAGTTGTCACTCGCAAGATCAATTTGTGAAAAATAGCATGGGCAAATAGTCCAACAGTTCAAGAACAACCTGTCTCAAAGCACTATTGCAAGGAATTTAGAGATTTCACCATCTACAATCCATAATATCATCAAAAGTTTCAGAGAATCTGAAAAAAATATCTGCAGATAAGAAGCAAGACTGAAAATCAGCAGTGAATGCCCATGACGTCTGACCCTTCAGGCGGCACTGTATTAACAACTGACATGGCTATATAAAGGATATTACTACATGGGCTTGGGAACACTATGGGAACTCTACTATGCAAAAAGCCATATATCAACGAAATCCAGAAACACAGCCAACTTCTCTGAGCCTGAGCTCATATGAGATGGACTGACACAAAGTGTAAAAGTGTGCTGCGGCCTGACGACTCCACATTTCATATTGTAGAAATCATGGATGTTGTGTCCTTCATGCTAAAGAGTAAAAGGACCTTCGAGATTGTGACCAGTTCAAAGCCAGCATCTGTGATGATATGGAGGTGTGTTAGTGCCCATGGCATCATGGGTAACTTGCACATGAATGTTGAAAGGTACATACAGGTTTTGGAGCAACATATGCTGCCATCCAGATGACGACGTCTTTTTCTGGGACATTCCTGCTTATTCCATAATGACGATGAGACAAATTCTGCACACGTTTCAACAGCATGGCTTCGCAGTAAATGAAAGTAGGTACTAGACTGACCTGCCTGCAGTCCAGACTGGTCTCCTATTATACATGTGTAGAGCATTATGAAGCACAAAATAAGACAAGAGACTCTGGACTGTTGAGACACTGAAGTCATGTATGAACAAAAAATGGGAAAGAATTTCACTTCCAAAACTTCAGCAATTAGAGTCCTCACATCCCAAATACTTACTGAGTGTTAATGTGATGTAACACAGTAGTAAGCTCCTGTCCCAACTTTTTTGGATCGTGTTGCAGGCATCACATTCAGAATAAGTGCATATTTACAAAAAAACAATTAAGTTTATTAGTTTGAACATTAAATTAATATATGCTGAAAAGAATTTACAGGTCAATGCATTCTGTTTTTATTTGTTTTACAAAACGCCCAACATTTTTGGAATTGAGATTGTAGCTAGAGTAACTGCTGCTGTACATAGCTTGTGGCCCTGGCTGTGATCAGTCACATGCAAAGGCCTAAGGTAAGGCTGGTGGTGGAGGTCACTCACTTCTACAATGTATGTTATAGTGTTACTTTTAAAATGCATGATTTGTGTCAAAGGCATTTCTGTGTGCCTAAAGACTTACTGATTAAATATCTTTATATCCACAAGCATGTGGTGACACACTGTAGTAGGACACACACAGTAATGACATGGTTTAGTATTGTGGGGAGCCCATGCAGAGTTTAGCATGACAGAGAAAGCAGACTTGTTGCAACTGGCTTAAGTTTTCCTTCTACCAGAACCCTTGAAGTGATACTGATACCGACAGAGTTCTTCATTCAATAGCCATGATGTGAATGGAGTGGTGTGTAGTATAGCCACACTTTCAGACATTTTAGTTGCATCTCGGCATGCTTAACTGCCAACTTCATCACATACACCATGCACCGCACACACACACAGTGACAGGGCTAACTGTTAGCATCACAATGCTTATGTTACCTAACAGCTATGAATGGGTTTAAAACAGAGTCAACCCATTTCAGTGTCAATATGAGCCTGCTGGGACTGTTTCACGGCTTGATGTTGGATGTTAACCGCCACTGCTGTGTTAGCTCATGTTAACTGGGCAGATGTTGAACTGACCAAGAGAACTGGGAAGAGAGCAGCTCCAGAGACAGCAGCAACAGAGAGTTTGCTGATCTGGTGGGGGGTTGGGACAATCTGGGATTCTCACACCACCGGCACAAAACAAATCCAATGCAGCTATCATTTGACTGGAGACTTTTCGATACTACTGGGTACTTATTATTTGTAGGGTTTCCCACACTTTCATTTATTTGTGGCAAACTGCCATGATTAAAACATCTGCTTCCACAAACAGATTTTCTATTACTGGAGCTGGAATGTTCATTAGGAGCGCTTTTGGAGTATATGTACCAGTCAGTTGTTTATAGCACCACACTGTTGGAGTGCAGAGTGCAATCAGGGCAGAGACAGAGCAGCAGAACGTCAGCCGCACTGAAAATGAAACTTCACAGTTCATTCTGCTGGGTCTATAAGTTTGCATTCACTTTCAGCAGCTGCTCCTCTCCATCAATCTGATCTGATCAACTCTGACTCAATTATCCCCCCCGCGAGTCACAAACAGCTGCTAAGGAATAAAAGAACTTATGGAAAGCTCTGCCTACGCTGCCTTCACAGACCCACAAAAGCCTCAGACTTTATAGATGGGTCACAGACAGTGCGTGTATGGGCGCAGCCTCTAACATGAGGGATGTTATGCATTTTTTCAAGGTGCTGCATCATTGTACACACATCTTTATCACATCAGTGTGAGAGCCCTGATTAAAGACTGTCACCCTCTTACCCATTTTCCACCAACATGTAACTAGTTCTGTTTCGGCACCTAATTTTGAACTGTTCAAAGCACTTCGACCAAAAATAAGCTGGTTCGGAACCTGAAAAGTTGTTTCTTGGTTGGAACCAAAAAATAGCAGATTTTCCTTGAGCCAGTGGGTGTGTCATACTCTAAAGGCTGGAAAGAGAGGATGGAGAAGGCAACTTCGGAGAAATCAAGTAAGAGACTGTCAAAAAAGAGCGTGCAGTGGTCTCATCAATAGTTGGTCCATACCTCTTCTCAGGGTAAAAACAAATATCTGTCCTAACGGAACAAAAGTTTGCAAATAATCAACATAAACATTGATTTTGCTTCTACTGTTTACTTCTGCTGTGCATTGTGCAACACCCTCTGTTGATGACACATCCCTGATTACAATGGTTCCACTTAAAACTGGTGGAAACATGGGCTGGTTTGCTAGATAGTACCAAGGTTCCAAGAATGATGATGACCAGACCTAATTTGGTGGAAAAGGGGTATCTGTGGTTTAGTGCATATCAAATCAGGCTGTGTTGGGACTCTATTTAGTTATTGGAGGTTACTGTGAAAAACATGTGGGTGATCCAGACATGTTACTAAATACCTCACATGGCTCAGTGATTAGATCCATACTATGACCACCAAACTTTTCTATGTATCCGTATCTACAAACAAAGTCTACAACATCTGGATGTGTTTGGGTTCTGAGTGACCAATCACAGCCGGAGAACTGCATTCTTAAATGCACCAGACAGACAAACTGTTAGATGTGATAGGGCACAATTAAGGTAGGACCTATAGACAGAGGTGGGGCAGGAAACTTGCACATTGTCTGTGGATGATCAGACTAAATCCTTAGGTCATGTAAAAATAAAGATTGTGAGGAGGGTGGTGGGGTCATGGCACTACCTTCAGGACCACAAGGACTAGAGTTGATACTTCACACCCGATTCATTCATTGAATTGTACTGTTGTGCTGACTGATACATCTTTCTTGTTCTGACTGATAAGAGGGTTCAATGGAGAAGACTGTCCAGTTCCCTCCAATTCTTAACAAAATTGGAAGTACAAATCCAAACACACAGAGCATGGAGGTGTTGGCGTCTGCAGTCAGTCATCATGATACAGGATGGAGCAGACAGAGTACATGTCTGTTTTGATGTTTCTTGTCCAGCCTGAAATCACAACATCATGTGAAAGAAATCTCCCTCTGACAGTTTCAGGAGGGAACGGACTCTGCTAGGTGAAAAAAGTCAAACCAGAAATATCTTTTTATTGCACTACCAAGTTTGCTGTGACTTCACCAATGGTAACTGTGTCTATACAGAAACCATGGTGACTGGGCTCTTATAGTTTCATCTGTCTGCCATAATGGCCAACATATTGCCCTCAACTGGAAGCTGACTGATGACAACAGCAGCCCTGATCACACCTACTGGCAAAGTTTTCTCCCTAATTCCTCCCCAGTCCCAACTTCACCCCAAGCAAGCTGTGATGATATGAAACACAGTATCAATGCCCAGTGAGCTGTGTGCCAATGAACAGTGAGAGTAGAGAGAACACATGAAGAAGGGCCCCGAGACATGCTCATCAGTCCTGCAGTGTGTTTTCAGTCGAGCTGCTCTGTGCGGCTCTGTGCTGTTTCTTCTTGTAGCTGGGCCAGCGACACACTGGGCAGCAGTGTCTGCCTGCTGCCAACCACACCACTATGCACTGCTGGTGGAAGGCGTGGCCACAGGGTAGACCCATCAGCAGCTCCTCATTCACAAAGTTCTCCAGACACACCACACACTCTGAGCACTGCAGCATGTTACAGGGCCATGCCGACCAATCACAGTGCTGATGGTTAGAGACACCTTCGGGTGTGAGGCAGCCGTCCTTCGGTGCTTTGTCAGCTGATGGTGAGCTCATGTTCCCATGACGACAGCAGAAGGATGATGCAGCAGTGGAACACTGACAGTTGCTGCTAGGGTCCATGTTATTGTGTGTGTTGCTGTCCTGACTGCACAATGATCTCTTGTGTGTTTTGCTGCTGTGAGGAGGTTTGCTGGGGCCAGCGGGAAGGGAATCCATCTGCTCCCTGCTCCCTGTGTCTGACTGTGAACTATCTGTCTCTTCATCCAGCTTTTCAGCAGACTGCTCCCCCCTGTCCTGAGCCACAGCTCTGAACCTCCAGGTCGGCAGGGCTTTAATATAGTCCATGTTTACTAATGGGCGGAGCCAGAGATCGGGGAAAGCCAAGCGCTCAAATAAGAAGTTGGGGTCATCCTCCCAGTCTGAGTGGTCAGATGGGACCTGCTGCAGTGATGCGATAGGGTGGAGCAGATAGGAAGTGTACCAGTCCCACAGACTGGCCAGCCATTCCAGGTTGGTGGTGCTGTCCTCTTGGCTCCTGATGCCACAGCGGCGTTTTTTCTCAAAGTAGTCGACCAGCAGGCCATGGGCCAGGTAGGTGGACAGGAAGAGAGCTGGGTGGGATGAGTAGAAGGTCCAGTCAGCTCTCACCAGGCTGGCCAATGTAGTGGTGTCAGCGTAACGAAGCAGCTTCAGACTGTAACCATACAGAGTGTCCAGATAGGGCAGCTGGAGGAGAGCCTAGAAGGAGTGATTAATCATTGATTAATTATCATCAATTCAAATCTCCACTTGTTCAAATAGTAATAGTATGGTTAGTGTATGGCTCCACATTCAGTGTAAAATTGCAGTGCACACAGGTCCACATTTGTAACAACTGATCGCATACACAGTTGTGACAAGACCCCTTTTTACAAAGATAGCGCTATAGAGCTGCTGTTAAGTCCCTTCTTTACACCTCCTTTGCATTTTTAAACAGAACCAAACAACGGCAGTAACATTCCACTCCAGTGTGTGATTATACACTGCATCATGGCTTTGCGGAATCATAAGAGGCCTGACGGGAATGACATGTAACATAACAGCGTTGGCCTCTAGTGTGACATATAACATTCACATTGGCAGTGGTTTTATAAACAGTCCTCTGCTCGGAGGGTAAGGAGCTCTTGGACTTAATTGTTTTCCCAATTTGCGGCCATTTATAGCCGCTGTTCTTCTTCTTTGAGTTAGCCACTAATTGCTGATAGCTGCTTTTTAAATCTCACCCGGTGTGTTGCTTATAACACGTCCTCACACCCCTGCCACCCATGATCCTGCAGACTGTCCTATTTATACAGTCACCATTTCGGCACTGTTACTACCTTCCGTGGAGGATTAAAGGCAAGACAACATTATTCCATGGTCATACCTTATATACAGCACGGTGAGGCGGCATAACAGCAGCACATTATTCCTGCTTTGAATAGGCAGTGTAAAGGCTAAGGATTAAAACAGACAACAATGAGTTCCGCAAAAAGTGGTGCAGGGTTTTTAACAGATGTTCTTTGGACTTAATGCTGCTGGAGAATCAACTCATCAAAGACGAACTTTCCAAAATGCATTCTGAAGTCAGCGATCGAAAACAAGACAGGAAAACTTTATCATATTTAAACAAGATTTCAGGTATACAATCGAAGACATATCAGAGAGATACTCTGGATTACAAAAATACAAACAAAAAAAAAAGTGTCGACTATGGATGTAAATGTTTAGATGTTAATCAGTTCATCACCAAGAGTATTTTTGGCTGGTTAAGTATATCGGTTTATAGGGTAGTTTTTCTACTATTCAGTTTACAGCACTGCGCACCACCCAGGTCTGGTGGGAGTGGACATAAGCTAGCTGCACTGCTTGCATGAATGAGCAGCACCACTAGCTAACTCCCACCCGACCTATGTGGTGCACAGTGCGGAGCAGGCAAGGCTAATGTTAGCTAACCAGTGGAGAGTCGGCCATGGGTGCTGTATTTCCACATGTTAACATGGCTGACTGGCTGGCTGTCAGCAAGGCTGGCAAAAAATAAAAGACAAAACATTTAAACCATAAAACATTTAAATTTCAACCTCTGTAAATGGATAGTACTTTGAAATGAGGTACTGAAGCTCACTGAGTCAACAGAGCACTGGCCTAAAAGGAAAGGCCTCTTGAAATACACATAATTTTGCATTGTTTTTGTTTCTGGTTGTTGTTGTTCTTAGAACTTAACCGGATAGTAACCAATTAATGGGTGTTGGGCAGTTGACATCCCTGGTGTCTACACATGGCTGTCAGGTACTCACTGCTGTCCATACAGACGGCCCCTCATACATGTGCACATGCATGATGTAAACAAAATGGAGACACATTCATGAAAAAACTGCTCCACAGGGTACCTTCAACTTAGAGCTCAGGTTTGTTACACCACCTTTCTGGAACAACCCCTCAAAAAAAGAAAACAAGTGGGTTTGTGATAACGCCACTGAGAGAGGCAGGTGTAGAAACTAACTTTGTTGATGAAGTCAGCTGTGAGAACCGTGTGGTATGAGTGATTTCCTACCAGAACAGGAAGCCAGGACACCAGCAGTATGGAGTTGTAGGTTCCAAGTGTTCGGATCAGAACTACAAATCGTTTGACTGTTGCTCCCTGTCCATGAAAATAAATACATGTTAAAAAAAACACGGGACAATAAATGCAGAACTACATGGAAGCCTCTGTTCTCTCTCTGCAGCACTGTGTAGAAGCAATTCAAAAAATGAAATAAGATAAAAAGTTAAGTAACTATTCAGATCCTTTAAATAAAATTAGCAGTAGCACAGTGTTGGAAAACTATTACCAAAAGAACAGCATTCAAAATGTCACTGTGAGTAAAAGTACGTAAGTATTACCACTAAATTGTTCTTAAAATATAAAAAGCACTTGTTCTGAAGAACTAACCCTTTCAGATCAGACCTTTATGTTTCAAAATTCAAAAGACAGGACACACAAACACATAGGCACGTGGCACCCTGCCGCATGAGGCATGCAGCCAGCTTTAAAGCTGTTACATAAATGCAGTGAAGTAAAAAGTGCAAGATTTCCACTTTGAAATCTAGGAGTAGAAGTATCAAGTCATATTAAATGGAATTACCCAGATAAAGTACATGTACCTCAAAACTGCACTTGAGTACAGTACTTAAGTAAATGGACTGTTCATTACCACCACTGTGCCTTATGGAAAAACAGGAAGTGACCTGTGTAATGAAGAGGTCCATCCAGGCCAGCAAGTTGATCAGGACCAGACTGAGAACAAACAGATCATTGACCTCTGGCTGGACTGAACGCAGGAAAGTATCCATGGCAGCCAGGGACAGGAACTCCCCAGTACTACAGAGGAGGAGAAAGAAAGGAAACGTAGAAGAGAGGTGGAGAAGAGGAGAGAGTAAGAGGAGGAGGGGAGGAGAGGAAAGGGAGAAAAAGAGGAAAGAAGAGAAAGTGAAGAGGAGACATGGAGAGGAGGAGTAAAGTAGAGAAGGAGAGGAGAAGAGGTGGAGGACATAAGAGGGGGGGAGAAGAGAGGAGCAAAAGAGAAGAGAGAGGAGAGAAGAGGAAGAGTAGTGGGGGAGAGGTAAAGAGGAGGAGTGAAGTAGAGAAGGTGAGGAGAAGAGGAGGAGAGGAAAGGGAGAAGAAGAGGTGAGGAGGAGTCAATGAGAGGTGGAGGAGAGAAGAAGAGGAGTGAAGGAGAGTTGGAGAGGAAAATAGGTGAAGAAGAAGAGAAAAAGAGGTAGAGTGAAGGAGAGGTGGAGAGGAGAAGAGGTGGAGGAGAAGAGAAGGAGTGAAGGTAATGTGGAGAGGAGAAAAGGTGGTGGAGGAGAGAAGGAGTGAAAAGAAGAAACAATTTAAATACATTTGTATTTGTTTGTATAAACAAAAACCCCTTCTAATTTCCATGTTCAATCATCACCTGTTGCCATAGCGATAAATGCCCTCAGGCATCTTGAGAATGTAGGCGGGACTCTGTGTCACATCAATCTCTGATAGGCTGCTGTGGTTGTCCCAGTGACGTACATCCACAAATATGAACTCGATCCTGCCAGTGAACTTGACAGACAGTGAGGAGAAGAAGGCGGGCGGCTGCGACAGATGGGCGAACAGAAACATCTTGACTGGGTGGGCCGGGTCAGAGCGCCACTCCTCCACCAGCTGCTCAGAATTTCGGAGGGTTTTGACTCGATGAGCCACGTGTGAGGTCATCCAGCGGAAAATGTGTTCAGTTTCAATGCGACGGCCGTTGTATTCTTTCAGCATGACTTTACCCTTCGATGCTGAAGTCTGAGGAACAGACATGATGAGGGTGGAGCGCTGCCAGCCACGCTTGATACATGACCTGGTGGACACAACAGACAAGCATCATGTTAGACGTTACTCTGGAGTACAATTCTCATTACAGGTAGGAAGACACTACATGTGGACAACTGACATGTCCTGGATGGTCTTTATCAGTCCCAGTGGACCACCAGTGCTCTGTCCTCTGTTTACTGTCCACACCTAGACTGATAGGTCTGCTACTGATGATGACATCATCGCATCCAAAGTCAGGTCCCTCATAAAATTTGCTCTCATTTTTAGAAAACTCCTCCTTGCCTGTGTTCATGGAGATTTAAGGAACATGTGTGTGTATGTTTTGTGCATTAATACACTGAAAATTGAAACATCCTGTGTAGTACGAAATCACACTACCAGATGACAAACTGTAGTACTTTCACAGACTGTTCACAGTTTGTCATCACTCTCTAAACATTTATTTATTACCCACGTCAGAACTGCACAAACACATCCTTCTTTGGGACATTCCATTTAACAAAAGACTAATGTGAGCGTACCTCAAATCATAGCTTGTCCTTTTTATCAGGGGTTCAAGGAATGACGGAAGAAGCAGAACTTTAAATGCCATGATTAAACAGCAACATTAGTTTGTACAAGGTGAAAAAAAAATCTATGCTTTTAATCAATGTCTGAGTCCCATTTCAACATCACATTTCACCACCCTAGCACATCTCCCTGTGCACAGCAATGCAGATAGAAAAGTGTCAGCTAACTCAGCTAACACAGTAACACAGTAGAATAGCCACAAATAAAAACTAATGGTGGAATGGTTCACAAAATTTACAGTTCAGTTCAATACGATACAGTGGTGTCACCATTTGGTACGTTTTCGATACAGCAAAAAAGTAGAAATGCAAGACAAATTTCAGACAAAATGCTTTTAATTTTACACTTATGAAAACTGACATAATTTGGGTTGGCTTTTGTTTGTTTGTACATAGCAGGAATTAAAGTCTGGCTGAAATGGGCTTGTTAAAGTCTGGGTAAAACAAAATCAGTGATTTCTGTTTAAACACATTATACATGTCAGAAAATACTTGCTGAAAACATGTAAAAGACCGTGAACTGTGTAGTGCTGAATTGTGGGGTCAAACTGTTTTTTACCATTTATGTATCCAGGATTTTTTTGGGTGGGTCTAAAAGCTCTACGACGCACTGGAGCTATCCTTAACATAACCCCTCAACTACTATATAAACTACTATAAACTTCAATTTGCAGCCCGGGCTATTATTTGCTTAAATCACTGAACTTAATAGGCTTATATTTGGGACAGGCGTCTATATGGGACAGACCTTTAATTCCTTTACATAAAACTGTTGCTCAGCTAAGATGGGAAACACGATCAAATTGTTTATTTAAACCAGAATGAATTATACTTGTATAAAATAAGGCTTGAATAACAAATCAGTTACAAGTCCTTCATTTGATCTAGCTGGTGGTAGCCAACAACCTGTTTTATACAGAACTAATCTAGAAATGAACTGCTTGGCAGACCAGGTGTCTAATTGAGACGGGCCTTTATTTGTCAAAATGTATAGTCACACCAGGTTAGTAAAAATTATTGGGCATTTAATTGGGAATTTTAATTGAAGTTTTACAGTATGTTACTACTGACACTAGAGCGCATAGTATCAGTACTGTTTCTTTGAGTTTGCTACATCCCACAAGCTCTCTGAGCCCTTTCAGTCTAATAAATACATGAATAAACATCTTTGTTAAATGTCACAGTCAAATAAAAACAAACTTAACAGCCGTCACTAACGGACCTTTTAGTCTTTCTTGATGAATCGTCTCCCCACTGTGTGTGCTACTGGGTTAGCTGCTAAGGAGAGTCTGTAGCTGCACAACGGCTTGTTCTTTGGCTCGGTGTGTTTTTATCCACCACTCTCTCTCACTATCGCCCTCATAATTTACAGCGAAACCACAGGGGCTCCAAACAGCCGACCTGTAGGTTATCAAAGGAACTTTTATTTCTGTTTAGATCTATCCATGTACAATATTTATAGTTGTACTGCTTTTTGTCTTTCAATTCTGCATGTTCCAGGTGAAACCCCAGGGCTCTTTGTAGAGAAAAGGCTATACATCACTGATCACTTGAAAACATGAACATAAAGACTAAATAACTTGGTCACCATAACCAGATGGATCTGTCTGACATCTACATATCCATAGGTAAATTTAAAAATCACCACATTCAGCAGACTTATAATATCTGCACATGTGGTCAAATCCCAATAGAACTTTTTGTCCTTTCTCAGTTAGTAAGAGCTTTAGATATTAGACGCATTAGATTTGACATTTGAATTTTTCATTTGGGTCAGTAGCCTTTTAGCTACTTTCTGACAAAAAAAAAATACAGAAGCTGAGAGAAATAAAAAGCAAAACATATTCCACAGAACAAGGAGAAATGTAATTCCCTACTAGGACAATTAGCCCCAATGCTTCTGTCAAATGAGCATTATTTGTCATGTGTCAGTATGCCCTGATATGAATGAACCTGAGGACTGCCCTGCTTCCCACCTGTAGTCATTAGAGCAGTTGAAGGTTCCAGTTCTGATCCCAAACTGGGACACTTTCTGCACCATCTTCCCCCAGTTAGAGTGACTAAGCAGAGCTTCCCGGTCCTGGGCAATGACCTGTGGGTACACACAGGGACATGACAGGGTCACGCTACTAATATTAAACAATTCTGTCAGTCCTTTGAAGCCTGGATCAGCTTTCTTGTGCTGCATTCAGACATCTTTCACAAATATTTAAACCTTTGAAACCTCACCAAATCAGTTTGATTTCTTCCAAAAACATGGACAAAAGGCAATGAGCAACAAAACTTGACAAGATAACGACCTGCAAATTAGGTTTTAAAAAGAGGGGAACAGAGAAAATTATTTTAAAAAATTGACTAATTTCCTTGTTTATTGTTGTTTTTTGTGGGGGCATTTCTTGTTAAGTTGCTCATTGCCTTCTTCAACCCACTTCGCTCAGGTTTCAAAGTTTTAAGCAACATGACATCACCTCTGACTCTGCTTGTTAGTATGGCCTGCTGGGTCAAAGTCTTGTGTGAGTGAGAAGAACTTTCTTCATACATTATTATTCATATATTTTAGAAACCTCAGTTCCCTTTTAGATGGATTAAGTGATTTGGTTTGTATATTCTGCAGCACATTTAAGTTTCTCCCATGTAAACAGTAATGGAAATTTGACATGTGCAAACAGACACATATTACCAGTGCAGTACTAAAGAGGATATGTTGAGGTGGAACTTGACAAACAGTGTTTAGTCTGAATGACTATGCCGTGTATCGGCTCAAGTTGGTTTAACTTAAAGTATCACTAAGCCTGGAAGCTAACTTGACCAGGACCAGGCTAGTTTGGAGGGTAAGTTTCCACAGCAGGTAGGTCTGACTTCTTTAAAAGCCCGATTTAGTGAAAAGAATTTAGTCTCTACTTATTTCCTTTGCAAAGGAAGGATTCGCCTGCAGCTTTCTGACAGGTAGCTTGAGATAGCAGAAGAGGCGAAGTTAAATGTTCTTTTAAACCACAGAGGAGTTTGTTAACACTAGTAGCACTATTATGGTTGAGTATTGAACCAATAAAGTTTACCAGTAAACCAGTGAACCAATACTGGTACTCTGTACCAATACCCAACAGTGCCTTTTTTCAGCATTACTAAAACTGTAATTTTTGAACAGGTGACGTAGTAGATTAAATGCAATTCTGCAATCTTCCGCAATCTGCCATTCTCTTTCAGTCTGTTTTTATGTCTGCTTGTGGGTGTGTGTATGTCTGCTTGTCTAGCCGTGACATCAGGCTATTATTAAAATAATATAGAAAAGAAATAAAAAAGTAACACAGATGATCGGTACTGCAGCTGTAGTTTTGGCTCACTTGGAAGGCAACGGAGCAGCTGACGGAGCATGGCGCTTCTGATTTTGTGAGACGCGCCTCTGTCTGACATCCAGTCGCAATGTGAACTAGACCACCTCCAGATGTGGAGGGGGTTTGGCTCACAGCACTCTGACTGCTATGTTTTTGTACATTAACACCTGCATTATAGAGGTATTTTGCAGATTTAGTATTTTTTAGCACTTCGATAAAGCTTGAAAATTCCAAGATAGATTTAAAAAAAAAAAAAAAAAACAGACAGCAGGTGAAATTAGCATACAGTGGGACAGAATGGGTCATCTTAAACAAGATGGACGTTGAAATATTACATTTTTCTTATTGGAGTCACAGGCTCTTATTTATCAATGTAACATACAAACCAGCACAGATCTGAGCACAGAAATCATCTTCTATAAACGTTTGTTTCGTAAATGAGGGCCAATGTGATGTCCCTACTGTTTGTAGTAGAATCATGGTCATGTCCACTAAGTATATACAGCTATACAGTTACTCAGTGCTTTTACCTGAACCAGCCATATCCCATCTTTAGTGTCCTCCACTAATTCATAGAAGTGCATCTCTCCACTGAAATGTGTAGTGCTGGCATCTCCTGCCTCTGTCTGCTCCTTCTCTTTCTTGATGGCTGAGTACAGCTCCCCCTGGGTCAACTCTCCTGTGGAGGAATAAAACAGTGCAATGATCTGAAAAGGGCTGAAATCCAAACCAAATCCTACTTTCAAAAAAAATTGTTACTGTTCCCACCAAACTAAAGGTCAGGTGTAAAGGGGTAAACCAGTTATTCTTAGCATCTTGGCCACAAGCCAGTACCGATCCGCCCAGTACAGGCCAACAAGTCAAAAAAATATAATCTGACGAGAAAAAAAAAAACCAAAACCAATAATTAATTTACCTCCATATTCTTATTGTGACTTCACTTGGATGCTTGGATTTACAGTACAGGCCAAAAGTTTGGACACACCTTCTAATTCAATGCGTTTTCTTTATTTTCATGACTATTTACATTGTAGATTCTCACTGAAGGCATCAAAACTATGAATGAACACATGTGGGGTTATGTACTTAACAAAAAAAGGTGAAATAACTGAAAACATGTTTTATATTCTAGTTTCTTCAAAATAGCCACCCTTTGCTCTGATTACTGCTTTGCACACTCTTGGCATTCTCTCGATGAGCTTCAAGAGGTAGTCACCTGAAATGGTTTTCCAACAGTCTTGAAGGAGTTCCCAGAGGTGTTTAGCACTTGTTGGCCCCTTTGCCTTCACTCTGCGGTCCAGCTCACCCCAAACCATCTCGATTGGGTTCAGGTCCGGTGACTGTGGAGGCCAGGTCATCTGCCGCAGCACTCCATCACTCTCCTTCTTGGTCAAATAGCCCTTACACAGCCTGGAGGTGTGTTTGGGGTCATTGTCCTGTTGAAAAATAAATGATCGTCCAACTAAACGCAAACCGGATGGGATGGCATGTCGCTGCAGGATGCTGTGGTAGCCATGCTGGTTCAGTGTGCCTTCAATTTTGAATAAATCCCCAACAGTGTCACCAGCAAAACACCCCCACACCATCACACCTCCTCCTCCATGCTTCACAGTGGGAACCAGGCATGTGGAATCCATCCGTTCACCTTTTCTGCGTCTCACAAAGACACGGCGGTTGGAACCAAAGATCTCAAATTTGGACTCATCAGACCAAAGCACAGATTTCCACTGGTCTAATGTCCATTCCTTGTGTTTCTTGGCCCAAACAAATCTCTTCTGCTTGTTGCCTCTCCTTAGCAGTGGTTTCCTAGCAGCTATTTGACCATGAAGGCCTGATTGGCGCAGTCTCCTCTTAACAGTTGTTCTAGAGATGGGTCTGCTGCTAGAACTCTGTGTGGCATTCATCTGGTCTCTGATCTGAGCTGCTGTTAACTTGCGATTTCTGAGGCTGGTGACTCGGATGAACTTATCCTCAGAAGCAGAGGTGACTCTTGGTCTTCCTTTCCTGGGTCGGTCCTCATGTGTGCCAGTTTCGTTGTAGCGCTTGATGGTTTTTGCGACTCCACTTGGGGACACATTTAAAGTTTTTGCAATTTTCCGGACTGACTGACCTTCATTTCTTAAAGTAATGATGGCCACTCGTTTTTCTTTAGTTAGCTGATTGGTTCTTGCCATAATATGAATTTTAACAGTTGTCCAATAGGGCTGTCGGCTGTGTATTAACCTGACTTCTGCACAACACAACTGATGGTCCCAACCCCATTGATAAAGCAAGAAATTCCACTAATTAACCCTGATAAGGCACACCTGTGAAGTGGAAACCATTTCAGGTGACTACCTCTTGAAGCTCATGGAGAGAATGCCAAGAGTGTGCAAAGCAGTAATCAGAGCAAAGGGTGGCTATTTTGAAGAAACTAGAATATAAAACATGTTTTCAGTTATTTCACCTTTTTTTGTTAAGTACATAACTCCACATGTGTTCATTCATAGTTTTGATGCCTTCAGTGAGAATCTACAATGTAAATAGTCATGAAAATAAAGAAAACGCATTGAATGAGAAGGTGTGTCCAAACTTTTGGCCTGTACTGTATGTAGGCTTTGTTTTCACATTCATGAACTGAGGGGGTAAAGTTTCTCTGTCCTCACCTTAAATCTGTTTAACACCTAATGCACCATTAGGTTTTATGACTTGGAGCCAACTATAATCCAATATGCAACATACATAAAGATGTGGAAACTTAAAGCACAAACACGAATAATGGACTTTCAGTGAAGTACGAGACGTCCTGTGTCCAACACATTTACATACTCATAGGTCGTGGAGGCATAAAATGTGGAAAACACACATCATACAAAATTAATATTCAACAAAGATTATTTTAATATATCTTAAACATGTATGGAGAGGTTAGACTCTGCCTAGTCACAGACCAAACAATCAATTCCATATGTCCATCAAAGGAAAGCAAAATTTATGGACCATTTATGGACCAGGAATAGACAGAAATAAGCTTTCAGGTAAACAACAATGACTGTTTAGGAGAAAGGAGGAATAAGGCAGAGGGTATTTTGTATGAACTTATCAGCTACCTGGGTGTGGTTACACAACAGGATACCAGAATGAATACATAAACAATACATGAGTATGTTTGCTTACACTTAAGGAAAGCATAAAAGAAGGAACTGTCATGACTATAGTGACAGTGTTGGAGGAGTCAGACTTTGGTGTCAATTCTGTTGGAGTCAATGGGGCGGGCACTAAAATTACACTTAAACCCATCATATCTTTGTTGTTTCAAGTTTTTAAAAAAATCCTTGCATCATATTAAAAAAACACACATTTTTTTTATCTAAATATACACATTCATTATCCTTGGTATTGGTCTCCAGACAGATCATGACCCTGTCCAGCAGCTGTATCAGCCCCTGCTGACAGTTTTACCTTGGTGATTTTACATGGACCTGGGTAACCTGTTAACCATCAGGCTTTTTAAGTATTCCATTTATAGATTTGAGGATATAAATACCATGTCCAGATTTTATGTGTATTTTCTGGACACCAGAAATCTGGCTCTTCGAACGCTGCGACTGTCATTACAATCTTTTATATTTTCCTTGCATACACAAGGGACGTGCCCATCAAGTTCTTTGTCTCTGATCCTGATCCAAGTCCTTTAATATTGGATATCTGCCCATCCCAAGTCTTATCCATATTTATTACAATACTTATATCAGATAATTGCTCTTGCTCTTGTGTTTCTGTTACGTCACTCAGTAAACAACATGTCTGCGCAGGTAGTTGGTGGTTCACAATAACCAGGAAAGGGTGTTTACATGCAATAGTATCCTATAGTTGTTTTCTTTTGTTTGTTAGTTTGTTTTTTTTGAAAACTCCAGCTAGCATGTTTGGGTTTCTTATAAAAAGGCCAAGTTGTTCCAAATCTCATAATGAATGATGATGGAAATCCCATGTTTTGTTGTCTAGGATCAGCTAATCCATCTTACTTTTGTGCCGGTTTTTGAAAGTAGCTTTAGATTGGATCACCCTGATCATGATGCAAACTTTTCCAGATTACCAAATCCAGATAACCATAGGACTTCACATCGCAACATAGGCAGTCTGCCAACAGACACACTACGATTATCACTTATCACTATAGGTGCCGCCAAAGACAACAAAACAGAGATCTCTGAGATGATAATCTTTCTTTAATTTTGACAGGTATTTGGGGGATTCTTTTATGGGCTTCATGTGTAGGCTTATGTCTACTTTATCTACTTTATCACAGTAAGTGTTAACAGGGTTCCTACACATACCCATACCCTAATTTCCAAACTTCTGTTTTTTTTTTGTTGTTGTTTTTTTCAGAGAATATGCGACATCTGAGTAAATATATCAGTGTATCATATTTCACATCATATTTAATTATTCTTAATAGGCGATTGTGGCCAAGTACCATAATGGCATGCAAATAAAAACTCAGGTAAGTTCAATGTCTGGGCTGAGGCAAAAAGGTTGGGACTCTGGGTGCAAGCAATGCAGTAACGAGACGTCTGTGTTTTTTCCTTTCATGTGGCTCAGAATCGCCTTCTCCCCCATGTTGGCGATGTCAAACGATTTCACACAAAGCTTGCATCTAGCTCTGTGTGTGAATTGGGAATCCTTGGCCAACCAGTATTTATATACGGTATTGTCAAGCCATCCATCCAAAAACTTGTATCTACCCATTGTGAACCACGTGAAACTCGTCTTCTTGTCGAAGGTGCAGTGTTGGAGTGAAACTTGATACCTGGGGGGCTGGAGGAGGGTCATGGGGCAGCGGACTGGACATACCACTTGTCAATCAGGTAAAAGGGTCGGTATGTTTTCTGAGACGTTTGCTCTCACACAAACTGCGCTTGGCCCGGCATAAAACACGATCCAGATTGATTAAATTATTTTTGGAAATACCTACTTTTCTATTTTAGAAAACAGTATTTTAGAACAGTGGTAATAGTCTGGAAACATAAATATTTTTCCATACTTTATTTTTCATTTTCCATACTTTTTAATACCTGGAAATTGATCACATTTATTTCCATACTTTTCCATACTTTCCATACTTGCATAGGAACCCTGTGTTAAACAAATCAAGTGCAAAATGTTAATAAATGTATAAATATATTTGACCAATTTTAAAGTTTTGTTACATTTTCTTCCCGAAATCCACCCTGAATCAACCCTTCAGCTGGGATCAGGATGATCCTGATCTTTTGGATCAAAGGTAACCCAATCTTACCAAAAAGTTTTGAACAACACATACTGAAGGTTTGATCCAGATCAAAACCAAGACTGGATTACGTGATCTAATCCAATTTCAGAATCCTTTTCTTCTTTTGAACGACCCATTTTCAGGATTTGATCCTACCCGATAGCTGAAATCCGATCAGATTACTTCTGAACAACTGGGCCCAGGATAAGGATTTATCCGGGTTTCTGATATCTTGACATGCTCAAACCCATAAATGGAATACTTCAAAAACCTGATCATAAACAGGGTCCTCGGGTCCACGTAAAAGCACTAACAGAGCTAGTGTAAAACTATAACTTCCAGGGTCTATTCCTGAGATCAGACAACCTCACTGAAAATCCCATTGGTATTACAACACATTCATTATTAAAAATACAGTTGGGACATAGCCTTTTTCAACAGTTTGTGTGGCTTGCTTCATATGTTTAGATAAGAACAGTATTTTTTTCAGAGACAATCTAATACTGCTGTTTATTCAATATTTATTTTTTCAGCAACTTTTAAAAAGGTACTGTATGTGACTTCTTACATGTATTCATTGTTTTTCATTGCCAATTTATTGCCAGTGAGTGAAGAGATTGTAACGTAAATTATACTTAAACTAAAAATGACATCTTCCCCAACTTTCTCAGTTGCCTAAAACAGCCTGTGGACTGACTTCTCTATATGAGATTCGGGATGGTTTTTGCAGGAAAATCCAAAGGATGTCACGTTTATGTGAGTTCCAGAGTGCCTTGCCTCTCTTCAACTTAGGTAAAGTGCTAACAGTGTGCAACATTAGCTAACGTTAGCTGTCTAAGGCCCATTACACAGAAAGCATTTTAGCAGCCAGAGGTGGCTTTTTGTAATTGTTTTTAATGAGAATAAAGCTTTTTGTTCGCTGTTTTGCGTTGCTACGCGCCTCGCATTTCTGCACTCTAGGTGCATGGCATTTTTGCCGGAGTGCTCTGAACTCCTTGAGTTAAAAAAAGCTTCAACTGAGAGCAGAAAAGCGCCACATGCCATCTCTGCTTTTTTTCCCCATAGTGCAATCAGATGATTTGAAAGGCGGGCCTTCTGTGGTGGTCACCACAAGTTTACAGATGGTAACCAATGGAGAAGACACTGGTGGTAGGCTAGCGGCTGCTGGATACCCAGAACTATACAACTTTGTAAACCCCAATTATAAACTGCCCTCGACTCATCCTAAAATATGCTTGGAAATGGCCAACAGACTCCCCACATTCCATCCTCTTTATTAGGGTTTTGTGTACCCACACAGATCTCTGTTTCCCTGTCCCCAACAAACTATTTGCTGACAGCCTCTCACCTTCAACCAGAGCTAGATCAAGTACCCTCTGTCTGACCATCTTAGGGAACTAGCTGCTAATTGCTGTGATATAAATAAAATAATAAGAAAGTAAGGAGGTGATGGGGTGGTTGCCTAGCAAGAATAAAAGGGTGCAGCAAGCCTTTATTTACAAGTGGCATTAAATTAAAAAAAGAAAGGCAAAACAGTGCGCCTTGCGTTTTGCAACTTGCCAAACACTTTCTGTTTGATCAGGGCCTTACACCCATGTAATGGTAATGCTATCTAATAGCATCTTGATGAGCTACACCAGTCAGGTGGCTGGATTATCTTGGAAAAGGAGAAGGGCTCACTAACACGGTTATTTTCTTTTGTTGAGTACAATTGGTTGTCTTGTAAATTTTGCACTATTGAACAAACTTGCTGGCATTCGTTTACATTCACTTGTGCATTTCTTTTTCATAACATAAGTAGGGATACATGACATTAGATTTATTGCTGATATCCAATATGCCGACATATAACAACTTAACTAGCTGATAACCGATATTGATATATTCTCCCCACCTAATTTTAGTGATCATCAAGTCTCTTCTGTAGTAGAATTATCATCATATTATGCATGCATACTCTTATCATGATGGCCTGACAGCAGATGGAGACATGAAATAGAATATTTTACATATATGTAATATGCATTCATGGTGCCATATAAGAAAAAGCACGTTGGCTGATTCTGATAGTTCATTTTAAAGCCAATATTGGCCGACATCCAATGACATGCCAATATTATCGTGCATCCCTAAAGATAAGATAACATTATGATGGAATTATGACCATGGAAGCACGAGAGAAACATTAATGCTTACATACTGTAGATGTCTTTAACTTTAAGGGAACTGTCTTCCTTTGAAATTAAACACAGGAAAACTGATTAATACTGGATCTCCACCACTCCCAGAGCCACCTGAAATAATAACAAAAACTGTACTAACAATATTAAAAAAAAATAATGTAAAAAAACACAATTTCTTAATATGATCATGTGTTACTGCCTGTTATGCAAATGAAGACTATTCCATCCGTACACTACACCAACGTTGTGTTTGAAGGTTACAGCTATTCTGTTTCTTAAGAGTGTCACCTTACAGGCTTGGTTTAGAGACCAACCCATGACTCATCATTGTGTGACCTTTACCTGATTTCTCTACCAGCTCGCTGACATCCTTCTTCTCGGCCAGTCCGGAGTATCCCAGCCCCCGACACTCCAGGATGGTCTTCAACTTCTTATAACTAAGAGTTACTGGGTCCACCAGCTGGGTGGCGAACATACCAGTCTCATACCAAACGACCGCCTCAAAAATCCTCGCTAGCATAAACAGCACTATGAAATACAAGAGCAAGAAGAACAGTTTCAACCACATCTTGTAGCTGGACGAGAGCGCTGCTGGCACAAGAGATGTCTCTGTGTGTGAGCACCGGACAGGCTACATAGGATTCAATCACCTTCGACCCATTCACTACGGATGCTAGCTTAATACTCAATATTTATCCGTTCGTCAGGCCTTCATCGTGTGACAAGATATTTTCCGACCGTTCACTTCCTTCACCAGTAGTTTACATTCAGGAATCCTGCTGACAGTGACAGCTAGCTCATTAGCTTAGCATCGCAGTTAGGCCTCGGTATCAACCAAAACAAACAGGCCTCGCCGAGCTCGAGCGTCAGCTGCACGCGCCGCAGTTTCCCGCGAACGTCGGTCGCCAGTGAGCCGGAACACCGGACTGCTGCTGCCGCTATTGACCTCCCAAATATTACTCACAACATTACAAAATGACTCTAATGACGGATCTGATTATGCTCCGATCAGCTGGTGTACACAGAGGAGATGACGTCACATCCTGCTCCACCTCACACATGTAAACATGCTACAAAATAAAAGACTTAAAACGAGTTTGATGGTGGCGCTGCAAAAATACTGTTATTGTGTTACTGTTAAATCTGTGCCCCGTAGTCAGATTTAAGCAAAGAGACCCGGGGCACAGCACAAAATCAAGCTCAAGACAAACTGTGTAAATTTGCACATATACTTTATTCTCTTATTGTCATTTATTATATTGTATTTTGTGTTGATTCCTCGTTAGCTTTTGTTCTTGTTAGTAATAAATACAGTAAAAATAAAAGAAGAGGAAGAAGAAAAAGATGATGATGCTGATGATGATAATAATACTGGGCTGCACGGTGGAGCAGTGGTTAGCATTGTCACCTCACAGCGAGAGGGTTCCTAGTTCAAACCCCAGGGGAGCCCTTCTGTGCTGAGTCTGCATGGTTTCCCCATGTCAGCGTGGGGTTTCTCCAGGTTCCCACCGTCCAAAGGCATGTAGGTTAATCAGTCATTGTAAATTGCCCGTAGGTGTGAATGTGAGTGTGACTGGTTGTCAGTCATTATGTGTCTGTCCTGTGATAGTCTGGCGACGTATCCAGGGTGTAACCCGCGTCTAGCCTAATGTCAGTTGGGATTGGCTCCAGCACCAAGAAATAAGGAATCGCATGATGATATGCTTGGTTTCCTATTTTATATTAGAACTAATTATCTGATATGCATAGACAAATTCCAATGCAGTTAACATTCTGAGCTCCACAACATGCCTGTTTTAATGTGTCATGTATCAGTACATGTTAGACGACTCATCTCCATATACTGTAGAATTTGAAGGAGTGCATTGATTGTAAGGAACAAAACATTTACTGGGAACAAGCCCTCTCAAGTTTAGGCGAGACTCGTTGGTACCCATTTTCATTCACACATCCTGAGATGAGCTCCCTCCCCAACAAACTGTGCGAAATGATTGGTATTCATAGATACCATGGGTTGTCTAATTTCACCAGACACCACTACCTTCGTGTTAGCTTCAAAAAGAGTGCACTGTCTGCAGCATAGACAGTAATGTCAGCCTTCAAATATTTTCACTGGGGGCGGGCAGTCGGGGGCCAGCAATTGAGCACTTCCAAGACGGGATCAAGGTGGCCTTGATCCCGTCTTGGAAGTGCCACTGTGAGCAGGATGGTGGTGCAGCTGCAGATTGCAGATTGAGAGTAAGTTTTATTAAATAGACTATGTTTAGTCTAAATGTGTTAAAAGCATTTCAGTAATTATGTTTTACTTACAACATCTGTTAAAGTAGCTGATATAGGCTAGTAGCTACTTTTTAATCCTCTGCTATAGTTGGTGGCCCTGGTGTTTTTTTCCTGTCACATAAAAGCTGAACAAACAGATTTAAAATGTGATCTGGGCTATGGCCTGATACGCAGTCAGATTCCACCACTTTATCATTTATTAAGAAAATGTAAAGACAACACAGAATAGAATTTTGTGTTAACTTACTGACACTTCTCCCTGCTCTTACTCATATGCACAGTCCACGTATACATGCATTAATATCTCTTGGTCGACTGGATTAAAATGGTGTCTCTGCCTTTTATTTACCTGTTGCCATGGTGAATCGTAGTATTTGAGCTTCTTTAATGATGGCTTTTTTCATTCACAACACATCAGCCTGAACAAACTAAGAGATAATTAAACCAACTCTGATCAGCTGCTCTGGAACCCATAACTAGTTTTTCATCTCTGTGTTCACTGACTCAAAGTTAAGGGTTACTCAGAGTTTGCTGAACCTGTGTTCAAAAAAACAGGTGTATCTTGTCTTCTATGGACCTTGAACTATTAATGCACACTTGTAATTTCTCCTGTCCAGATTACTGCAGTTCCCTCTACATGTGCCTCAGTCCAGCTGCTATTAATTGTTTACAGTTGGTTCAAAATGCAGCTGCTAGGTTATTAACTAGAACTAGCTTTTACACTCATTCTTGTGTCCCTCTGTTGGTTTCCTGTAAAATTCAAAGAAGACTAAAATATCCTGTTGATTATATATAAGGCACTGCATGATCTCGTCCCCAGTTACATTTCTGATCCCCTCGTTCCTTACTCCAATCCTCATATCTCAGCCTTTTCTCCATCCCCTGCTCCAACTGTAAAACAAAAGATGATCATGCATCTATTGATTTAGCTCCCCACCCTCTGGAACCACCTTCCCCAATCTATCAGGTTGGCTGAGTCTTTGGACTGCATCAACTAAAGAAAACCCACCTTTATAGGCAAGCCTTTCTATGTATCTTCATCCCTGTCTTTTGTCTTTGTTAGTTTTGTCTTTCACCATGCTGTTCTATATTATAATTTATGTTTACATTTTTTTATTCATTCGTGTGTGTGTGTGCATGTGTGTAAAGCACTTTCAACGGTGTTTTAAAAAGTGCTGTATAAATAAAGCTTTACCTAATTTCTGTAACAAGGTCCAGCACCTTCCCAGGTGACACCCAGGTGCTGTATAGCCATGTTAAGTGACAGTAGGCTAATACAAATTTTTTTTATCAGTTATTTATTCATAGTAGCTGTGAGACAACAGTGACATCGTGAGGCCAAACAGGAAAATACAAAATTACCCATTATCACTTGAATTCAGCATACTGTACATACAAAATAACTTTTAATTCTTTTACTATACATTTTTTAGAGAAATACATTAGAAAAACTTTTACTCCACACACTGGAGAAATTTGGTTTGGTTAAGATTTTTTTGTCCTGGATGAAATTGCTCTAAACTTCTCCCATGGCTTCAGTCAGAACCAACAATACCCACTTGGAAAACTTCCCTTTGTATGGCTGGGTTGCCCCTTGTGTCCACTCACTATAGTCACTGAGGTGCTTGTGATCGCACTCCACTCAGATCCTAACATAACTGGTGTAACCAGAAATGCCATTGAACCGAAGGTTTCCCTTTAAACAGATAACCAGCTTCTGTATGTTTCTAACCTCTGTGTTTGCGCTAGCTGCTCTCGGAACATTTAGTTTGTTTGGCCATATATCAGGTTATAAACTTAATTTGGACAAAAGTGAATTATTTCCTTTAAATGTAGCTGCCCATATACATAATTTCCCATTCAAACTGCATGTATGGTTTTACATACGTTGGTATCCAGGTTATGGTCAAGTTTGGAGATCTGCTGCTCAGCTGCCCTTATTAGTTGCAGCTTAGGTTAACTCTGTGGACACTGTTCCAAAACTCTATCTTTTCAAGTGTTGACAAATTTTCCTACCCCAGTCTGTTTTCATCAAAGTTGATAGTTTTTGTCTCAGTTAATCTGAATGGTAAAGTCCCAACCCAGGCTTTGCAGGGTTCTGCTGCAAAGGTCAAAGTCCCTTGGGGGTTTGGCTTTATCCAACTTTAAATTTCACTACTGGGCTGCCAAACTTTGGAGGCTCCAGCATCGGCTCTATTTGGAGAAATCAACTTCTTTTCTGACGAGGATAAATACAGAGGCTGCTTCCTTTGCACCAACATCTTTGACAGTCTTCACTCACCCCAATCAACTTTACTTCCTTTAATTTTCCTGCAAAATCCTTTGCCGCACTAATTTATCTAAGGTCAGGCTTTCTAGGATTTATGGTGGCGTTGGCCCTAATTGTGAAACCTGTTACCCATGTCTATATGTTTTGGTCTTGCCCTTCTTTGCACAATTAATGGTCTGAAATTTTCCACACAATATCTCAAATCCCCAGTTGAATCAACTGATCCCACAGTCAGATTTTGAGTCCCTTTGGACTCTCTTAGTCAGATGCTAAGAAAGTCCAATACTTGTTCGATGGGAATTTCCTGCTCCCCCTGTCATTCCTCAAGGATTACAGACATTTTTCAGTTTGTTAAATTAGAATAAATTAGGTGTATTGTAAGAGGTTCATGTGCCAAATTTAATAAGACATGGGGCCCCTTTATGCTGGGAAAATGAGTACTTTTGAAGTGTGTTATTGTACATTTATGGTTTAATTTACTTATTGGTTGTCTTGCCAGTTGAGTAGTGACCTAGCTGTTGTGTGTGTACATGCGAAAATCCAGTGTGAGCTCTTGAAAACCTGATAATAAAAAAACTGAGAAAAAGCTGCATTTTTTTTGCGTTGCTGCTAGTAATATACCCACAGTGATCACCATCTCTGCACTTCCCTTCAGCTCTACGGAGATTTTTAGCCTCTTTCAACTAACTGTATTAAATTTATGGCCCACAGCTTTAACGTTTGGTTCGGTCTCACTGCTCTCATCAACCTCGTCACTAGCCTCAGCAGGCAAGAGTCTTCAGTGAAAAGCTCTGATAAACTTATTGTACGCTACCAATTCAGCAGCGAACAGCGGAGACACAGAGATAGGCTGTGGAAAAGGTGAAACATCTAGCAGCGGTCTGCCGCGGTCGGAGGTATAAATGCTCAGAAGTCTAGCGTGTTTGATTTTGTAACTTATAGGCCTCAGAAAACATACAAGACACATTTTTAGGAAAAGTCATAGAAGAGAAGCTTGTAGGTTTTATCTAAACAGAGCTATTTGCATTATAAAAACCGTCGTGGTGGCTCTAGGACAAGTGCACTTACATTGATCACTTCCATAAAATAAAACGAGAAATTGGAGAAGATTGAAAAAATTGTTAAAATTAAATTAGGGAACTGATCACAGATGAATTGTATCTGTGTGTTTTTACATCTATTGTTGCTTTTAATTTGCAGCTATACTTTTAATGAAGCTGACATGTCATGACAGTCAAGAACCCCCCCCCCGAAATTCCCTGATCGCTTCAAAGACGTCATCAAAGCGAAAACGCGAGTCTGTTGATTTCTGCCACATTGACGAGCGATTGCAACTGAGCGATGAAGCGACATCAAAGGGGCGAACCGAGCGACAGCGAAAAAAAAAATAAAAAGTCCGGTGTGAACACACCTTTAGTATGTTATGTAGCTCCGCGACAAAAAAAGTTCCCCCAGTCTGTTGCCAGGCAACGCAGCACACACGCCAGGAACTCACAAGCTAGCCTACTTTACGTTGATCTGCAGCTGTGCAACTTCGTCCAGTTCGGCTGATGAAACGTTGGCAAACCTGGATGTTGGCACGGCCGGATTCAGCTTCCACTCTCCCTCATCCTCATCAGTACCTCATCAGATGATCACTGATAATGCCTGACCCGTGTTCGCTTCATTTTTGCTCCTCTCCGGTTTGTAGAGGTCAGCTGATGTTAGACAAACACACCTGGAGGTCCTTTAATTCAAATGTTATAGGGAAAAATATCCATCTTCTTGGTGTAACGCTATAGTGTCAGTTTGCGTCAATGTAGCGAGTGTGACAGTTGGTTAATTAACGGTTGTATCTATATTTATAACACCCGTGAGCGGAGTTATTTCACTGTTAGCCTACATGTCCCAGTGATGTTATACTCTATATCAGCATTCACGGAATGCCTCTCGTCCAATCAAATTACTCGGTCGGAACTAACTGTTGTATATATTAATATAATAGAAATTTGAAACCATTTTGTTGCTGGAAATATTTGTAAAAAAGTCTCCCCTTTGAAAATAACTAAAATAAAGGGGGGATTCAACGTCCAGTTGAATTTTTTTCTATGTTGTAAATAAAGCAAATGCACCTGGTATGATAATCATCAACCATTATATCAAGGTATAGGCTACCTTAAAACCCGGAATATCACTGCAACCCTAATCTGTTTACAGTGCAGCCAAAATAACTACTGATAACTGGCCTTTTAACATCATACCATGAGCAACTGCAATCTGATTTCATGCTGCACAAACCACAGTAGTTTGTACACTTGGGGGTGTGCAGCCTGTTTTTCATACCTCAGATCTCTCTCTCTCTCTCTTTTCTTTTTTAATAGAGAGAAATACATTAGAAAAACTTGTCTTTGCTAAATTGCTCCTAACTTCTCCCATGGCTTCAGTCAGAACCAACAATACCCACTTGGAAAACTTCCCTCCACTGTTGTTCACTGTAGTCACTGAGGCGCTCGTGATAGCACTCCGCACAGATCCTAACATAACTGGTTTAACCAGAAATGGCATTGAACAGAAGGTTTCTCTTCACACAGATTGCTGGCTACTGTATGTTTCTAACCTCTCTGTGTCTACACCCGCTGCTCTCAGAACATTTAGTTTTCAGTGGCAGTAGGCAATGCTGTGTTAGCATTAGCAGTAACTTAACACAGCTCTAGCAGCTCTGTTGGAGGGTGAACAGTAAACAGTGAGGCTGATATCAATCAAATCAATGACATGCTGCATTGTTTCTGTGATTGTGTGCAGGCAGGTCATTTTAATCTTGAATGGCTGACTCCGCCACAAACAATGAAAAAGACTATAGACCAAATCACAGTGTTAATTTATAATAACTTCCGGGTAGAAAATCCTCAAATCATGTACATAAAATCAAACAGTGCTGAGCAAACACTGCTTCAATGAGTTCGTTTTTAGCCACCTAAAAAAGGCCTAGAAAAGAATCAATATAAGATTATGTGTATGCTATATTTGTAATATTTTCACTGCTTTACCTTGCCATCAGAATGTTTTTCTTTTTTTTCCAGACCTGATTATTTAAGTAGCTCAGGAGTGAACCGTCTCCTTCTTTCTTGTGTCTGCTGAGAGTTGCACATGCACAGTACCAGTGAGGAAAATCATGAAAAAATGTTGGCGGGTACAGACAAAGTTTATGAACTGAAGCGCAAGTGAGCATTTCTATTTTTCTGGAAACAGGAGTTTAATTAAATAAAGACTAAATATGACAATTAACTTTAGTCTTTGTTGTTATTTGATAAACAATAATAAATTAAACAATTTATAAAGGGGCAAGTAAAGACTGATTTCAGGCAAGTAGGTCAGAAATTTACCTACCTCAAGTCAATTCTTGCTTGCCCCTATACAAATTGTTTCATTTATTAGCGATACAAGTGAAAAAAAAACAATGTTGAACCCTGATGTTGTATTTATACCTCTTACTTTCTTCTTGTAATTTAAGATAAACTGTAGTAATGAACTTTCTACAGTAGTCACGCAACAGTGAGTTGATATTTTTCTCATATGATATCAGTAATATATTACAGGTTGTGTCTGTATTTCCAATCCAGAGTTTCTCCAGGTGAAATACTGTTAACACAGCCATGTCAGCAAGGACACATCCAGTGTGGTGGTGGTGTTGGCCAGTGAAAACAGGACACTGCCACAGGCTTCTTGTCTGTAAACACCAGTTTACCAGAGTGAGGTTAGAGGCCTGAGTGTTGGTTTGACAACCACATACTGGCAGGAACATCCCACAACATTTGTGATGCTTTTACAGTTTTAGTCACTATTTTTTGGGGGGTGTACCAGGGCACACACCCTTCTCTTTCTATTGGTAGAAAATGTAAAGAATTAAAAATCAAAGCTTCTGATCTATTAACAGGCACGTTTTCCAATGTCCAGAGCCACTGATCCTGGTGCTGTTACAGGGCAGGGAGGAAAGGGCTTCAGCCTGCCATGGCTAGTGCAGGTTGGGATACTTCAGGCAGAATCTGTCGAATGTATCATATATGGCCTGTCTGGAAATAAAACAGATACCAAATCAATTCTAAAACAACAACACTTCAAAAGGCTGCATGACAAAGAAGAGATGATGTATAAAAGTGATTGTAGTTTGTGAAATCGGTCTGGGATTTGACCAACTCAAGTTTGAATTAGTTTTTTCCCCATGCAACCAGAATTCCACCCAAATTCATGTAACTGCAAGTAGAGAGGTGAGAAATCAACAGCTCTCTGGCTCAAAAGTCTCAAAAAAGCTATCATAATCATCTTTATGAGGATAGGCTTTATTGCACAATTCCTTCAAATGAACTCCATAAACTTTAAAGCTATATAAATAAAACTGACTTGATGTGACTGTGGCTGCTGTAGGTTTGAGGTTCTAATCAATTTGGAAAAAGCTTTCAACATCTGTTACAAAAGTTAAAATGAACAAAACCACTAAATTATATATCAGCTTTTAAGATGTTTGATGAGTAGTAATTGGCTTAATTTTTACCAGTCTGTACAATATTTTATGTATATTTTTTGTGTTTGATTTTGAGCTGCTGCCAAGTGTGTTTGGCCTCCATCAGATTACAGCTGGATAACACGATATAGCAAATTATATTAAAATATATGAACACTGTCAAGATATAAAAATGTTGATACAGCTTCTGTTTATTACACGCAGTAGTGCATCACATTACCCATTTACAAGCTCTGCAATCTTTTCCCATCCCACCTCACGCTGTTTGTCTGTGTTCTTTATACTTTCTAAACTTCACTCAGTATTGTGATGTCAGGAATATGATTTATTTTATTAACATTTTAGACTTGATTCCAGTGTGACTTTGCTGTTTTAATATTAGCGTAGCTGCTCTAGAAACAACATTTAGTTATGAAATATTCAGTTTTATTCCTGTTGTGAATGTATTCTTTTTAAAAAATAATTACTTGTAAATGTTAAATTAGTTCTCCGAGAATCTCTTTCACTCATGGGATCGAATCGAATCAGGAAATCAGTGGTGATACCCAGCCCCAGTACTAACTGTCACCAGCATCATCTAGCGATTAACCACACTTTTTAAGTAAATATTCACAGATCTTATATGCCCCAAAAGGGGACGCTGCCCTGGCGATGATGCGATGCCAGTATGGTCTATGTATCATGTGATGCTGTAGTGACATGTTTAGGGATTTTAATGAACATATTTTAAACTACAGCCAAACTATGTATATTCAAAAGTTTTCCAAAACATTCTATTCATTCCAAACCATTTCCAGGCCCTTGAAAATTGTTTCTCTAATGTCATAACTTTGCCAGAAATTTCATGACCATGGGATCCCTGTACATTGTTTCTCTAGAAAAAAATCATCACACGGTTGGTCTTGTTTAACACATTGTCCACTTGTGAGAATGATGTAGCTTGCAGAGCACATTAACCAGAAAACAGCCAAAGCTTCATTTTGACCTTTTATGGAGGTGTTCTAAGACATTGATAATAATTATCTACAGCTGATATGACCTGTCACAGATATGTTTGTCATTTAAATCTGCAAAAGCAGTGGTCAGTGCCCTGCTGCCTACATGTTTTAATGTCTGAGATATCATCTGTTTCTCTACAATAAAGCACCTTTGCCTCCTGCTTCTGCAAAGTGATTGGCTTTATTCAAATTATTAATCTTTAGCCTTGGAATGACTTGATATCTTTCCGTGTAATCAAAAGGCTAAAGTCCAGGTGCAGTCACGAGTCATGGGTGTTAAAGTCAAAGTAGAGTTGCAAGTGTTGTTTTGATGTGTTTGAGTCTAGAGTCATCATATTCATGATGGCTGACCTGAGAGTTGCTATTGGGAGGAGCAGGTAGCAATGACAGAGCTTTACAGGTTCAGCTAATCATTGTACTGACCTCCTACAGTACAGAATAGCAGGACAACACTAGAAGTCACACTAGAAGGGAGCCAAATACAAAGTGTGGTCCTACCTTAATACTCACAAAATGTTTTCTTGTAAGCACTGTTTAACTAAGCAAACTCACACACCTGATACCTGACCACACATCTTTTGATATCCTTTGAGTTAAGAAGTTTACCTGAAGACGTTCTGTTTAAACAGGTATGCACTGACGTGTCCTCCATTCAGATATCTGACTTCACATCCTGGCCAGATCTCTTGCAGACTGAGGACCCCTGTACGAGGGATATAGGCATCCTCTTTGGCCTGGACCACGATAATGAGACTGGTGTCTACAGGGACTGGGATACAGGGAAGGACAGGTGACGTTTATTTCTGTATACATGCCTCCACTGTGACATATCATACACAACACACAATACTGAGCAGCATTGTTACATGGATAACATCTTGGGTCTTCCTCTACAAATATCAAACCTGCAGCCAGGACATTAGATTTGTTGCCTTTTATTTGAGGGGAAAAAACATAACCCTCTCAAAAACTGACTTTTTCTGCGTGCTTTATATCATCTCCATTAGATTGTTATAATTCACTGTGTTTTTGGGGTTAAGCCAAAACTATCTCATGCCTTCAGCTGGTCCAAAACACAGCTGCTCTACTTTTAAGAAATGCTAAAAGACATGATCATATCACCTGTTCTGAAGGGTTACCATGAAGTTTTAGAATTGATTTTAAGGATTGACTGATGACCTTCAAAGTACTTCATGGTTTCACTAACAAGTTATATTGCTGAATGGTTCCTCTCCTATGAGCCAGAGTGCAGCAGAGGCAGGGCTCTGCTGGCTGTCCCTAATGCTGCGTTCATACTACGAGGTGAGTGACAATGCAACAGTGTGCCCAGCCACATTATTGCTGAGTCGCTGTTGGAAGTGTTGCTCAAGCGCACATTAACATAGTTACATTGTCATGGGCATGTGTGTGTGTCTGCTACTGGTCTTAAAGCACTTAGACTCATCGTCATCTAAAGTTTGTATTTGGCAAAAAATATATCTATGCTTCTGATATGGTGTGATATGGCACAGATATATCTACGCTTATCTATCTATTCTATGCTTTTTCAATATCTGAGCCCCATTTTAACAATGCATTTCACCACACCATTGCATCCCCATGCAATGTACTAACACAGTACCACAACTAGAAAAGACTAGAAATACTGCCCCAGGGTTGTATGCCTCCACGCACCAGCCAAGTGTCTCTTACAGTTTATATCCATATCTGTGAAAACACAGATGCTTCACACACATCTCCCCCCGACAGCAAAGAGGATCTATATAATCAGCACAGTTTCAAGGTGGACGCCCAAGATTAGTGTCACCAATTCAGTATCTGACTAAATGTCTCCTCTTCTGTTCCTGAGATATGACACTAAGTAATGGCCAGAAGTGTTTAATGCAGAACATTATGATGTCACAGTTGAACCTTTGACCTTTTCGATATAAAATGTCATCACTTCATTATTTTATCCTTTTAGACATTTGTGTGATGTTTTTTCATAATCAGCATATGAATTATTCAGTTATGGCCAAAAACATATTTTGTGAGGTCACACTGCCCTTGACCTTTGATCTCTGACAACCACATTCTAATCAGTTTATTCTTAAGTCCAAGTGGAAGTTTGTTTAAGTAAATTAAATAAATTCCTTTAAGGTGTTCGTGAGATATCGCAGTCACAAAAAAAGAGACAGACAAGGTCACAGTGACCTCGACCTTCGACATATGACCACTAAAAACTAATCAGTTCATCACTGAGTCCAAGTGGACATTTGTGGCAAGAAATTCCCTTGAAGCATTCTTGAGATACTGTGTTCACAAGGATGGGACAGATGGACAACCTGAAAACAAAATGCCACTAACAACAGATATCACTAGCACAGAGGCATAAAAACATATGACTGGTTGACGCTTCACAGCATCATTGGAGCGCTGAAAAAAGTTGAGGCCAGCTTAACTTTAATTTGTAATGTGCACGCCCGTCTGCAGTGACAAGTGTCGGGAGTCAGTTTGCAGCTTTAGGTCATCAGCTACAAATGACTTGTAGCCTGTTTTTTGTGTCACTTGTAATGTGAACACTGCATAAGTCTCAGCTCAAGTCAGCCCCCCCCCCCCCAGCTTTGAAACTCCCTGTCTGAAGATCTGAGGCCAGAGAACCTGCAACATCTTTTATATCACTTCTCAAAACACATCTTTTTTCTTTCTTTTTTTTTTAAAAAGAAGCTTTTTTTCATGCTAACACACAAATTTACATAACATGTCTGATCTGTTTTTGTTTTTTTATTTTTTTATATATATGTGTACAGGTTGTGTCAGGAAGTATTCATGTGGACTCCCCAGCTTACTGAAGAAATCTTCATGACAGGCCTGTTCAGGCATCTTGTCCTGGTCTTGATCTTGACTTTTTGCACAAGTTCTCTCCTATCATACACAGCTTCAGTAACTCACTCCATGACGGGTGACGGGTAGGGATGGAACGACAAGAGATTTTGATATCACAATTACTGTCAGAGGAAATATCACTATGTCACGTTTTTTTAACAATAATTATTCAAGCAATTTATTATATACATAATAATAATAATGTATTATATATATTACCATTATATCCATTTAGTTTTTTTTAAGTAACGTTTGGTTTTTAAAAAATAATTTATAAAGGCTGAAAGGGAACAGGCTATACAGAACACAAGCTACAGATAAAGACAGAGAGAGAGTGAAACACAGCCCCTTCAACATTCCTCCTCAGTTGGTTAAATTATATTCCTGCAAGATAGCCAAAATAAACAGTAACAGCTGTGAACGACTCCCGAGTTCAAACCGTTCTGGTCCAGCTTAGTACATCATCGATGATTGGATGGATAATTATCTCAAAAGTGTTAGTAGATATTCCAAGTGTTTGACCCTTAGCAGTCACTTTTCAACAGCTCACTTTGCAAGTTGGATATCCATCTACAACTCCCTGTTCATTTGTAGATATTCAAAATGCTCCCACAGTTCCGATTCAAGTGGGGATGGGCAACTTAAGTAACTTTCATATTCAAGTGCTCACATTACATTATTATAGAGTACTCGAATACTTGCACAAAAAAAAAAAAAAAAAAAATCCAGCATAACAATAGGAAGTTAAATTGGCCAACAATGGAAAAAAGTGCAATTTGAGATACATTTATTGAACAACCAGGCCTCAATTGGCTTATTAAACCATAAATTCAAAGCTGACATAAGAAAAATCCACAAATTTTCTGTTAGGTTAGACGCAGCTCCGAAGGACCGTCTGCCACTCTCCTCCAAATCAATTTTGTCTGTCTAGTTGGCATGAGCTAACACAACAGCAGCACCGGCTAACATCTGACAACTAGCTGTTTAACAGTCCCAACAAACTCACAGCTCTGTCATATTTGTGTTATGGAACTAACCAGGAACTTTTTCCGTAAATCTGTCTGTCTGCACCATCAAACTTACCAGAGAAGTTGGCCATGTGTGTGCATTCGTCCATTACTCCCTTCATGAAGCTTATAGACTCTTTATGTAATGAAGGCCGATAGAATTTGGCTGAATTCATCTTCTTCTCACGCAGTGTGCTGTTCGCATGAAGGTCTCTAAGAAAAGAAGTAAAAAAAAACTAATCAGTTAAAAAACAAAGAACTAAAATAATAAAAATAATATTAACCTACATTTTTATAGTGCCTTTTTAAGGGACCCATGGATGATTTACACACAGACACCTTGGCTCACAGACCACATGTGAATCAGCCATGAAGAAGCTGGAACACTTTGCCCAGGACAGGGAAACTGTCACCTCGTCTTGGAGCCATACCTGCAAGGGGAGCTCGCAGGCAAGCATTTTTGAAAGGGGGGTGGGAGGGTGTGCTCCAATTACTGGGGCATCACACTGCTCAGTTTTGCTGGGTATTAAGCTTAGCCTGGCTTTTTAACATTGTTTGATTGTTCTCTCCAAAAAGTAACAATAATAGTAACAATACTCGTATTCCTATTGAAATGTTCAATGCGAGACTTTCGGTTCAATACGCATTACAAACCGAATATGTTGAACTATCCTATTACATTTGGAAAATACAATATACAGCTTAAACTGTGTTTAATATATATTTTTTTTTCCAACAAGGCAGCCCAAAGGACAGAGCAGGCAACATGCTGTCTGCCCCTTCCACCACCAAACCAGAACATTCTACTCCAGTGAGACAGCTACGCTCAGCTAGCTCATTCTAAGATGGTTACTAACACCATTACCAAACCAGAAATAGAAGATCTTCCAATAACCTACAGGTCTGATATTTGGATCCACTTTGGTTTGACTGTAAATTATAGCCGCCATATTTAAATTGTCAGGAGTAGGAACAAGTTGGATGATTGTAACATGAAATTTTCATATCGACCAATACCTGATTGTCTCAAAAAAAAAACCAAAAAAAAAAAACTCCCTTTGGATAAGTAAGTTGTTCTAAGGAATAACATGTTGAATGTCTGACAATAACAGCACATATGATAAAAATGACATGTCAGCAATTATCCTAACAATTAGATTTAGAAATCCTCATTATAGATTATAAACAACAAATCAGACTGTACTTACCTTCTATTAATGATGACTAGGTGTTAAAATCTATTCACCTTACCAACATGTACACAAGTAAAATGTTTGAAATGAGTTGTGTTAATTGAAGTATGTGGAACATATGTCCAGAAAGCAAAAGTCACACATGCATTTTTTGAGCAAAAGTGGATTTTACAAATATAAACGTGATGGCTTGTGTGAGGCTTGTCCTTGGAACTCATTCAGCAGCGTTCACTCACAATAATTTAACAGATTACCTTGGTAGAGTGTCCAAGCTCATTCCACTGCTGTTCACAGATGATAGCAATTGGTCTACTCTAGCCCTGCCCCCCTCAGGGCTTCCACCAATCAACAGGCCTCGTTCAGCCTCAGCTTCCCCTCCAGCTTTGGAATTCTGAGCCACTGATGCTCTGTCATCTCCAGACAGGCCCAACAGATGCTCTAAAGGGTCCACATTCTTCGAAAACTCTGGACCCATCTTAAAGGAATCAGCCTGGTGAATGTGGACACACACACCAAAACACAGATACAATGTACTTACTGATGCTAATGTGTGTTAATGTATGTGTTTCATAAGGGGCTGTTAGTTCTCCAGCAGAATCTTTGTTGCTGTGCTGATTCTTGGAGAGCTCCCTTCCTCAGAGAGCAAAATCTAATTTAAGAACCATTTGATATAAAAGGGCAACTGCTTGATGAGATTTTCTCTGACTGACATTATGACAGTTGCCCATAACATATGACCAGAGCCCAACAAGCATGAAACAAAAAAGGCCCTGCTAATGTGAGCATTTGTGAAGCTAAAATGAGCAAATGTTTACACCTACTTAAATGTAATTATTCTAGTCATCACTGATACATTTTCTAGTGATTGATCAACTTATCACTCAATTTATCTCATACAGTTTCCACATTTATACTTGCTCATTAGCATCGGTAATATCCTTTTCAAACCAAAACTGTAACCTTTGAGCCAACTGTACCTTATGAATACTATATATGTTCAATCACTATGTAAGAGTATGAATAAGTGATGTTCAAAAAAATTGAAGGATAACATACCCCACAGTATTCCAACAGCTTAATGATCTCCTCTTCATATACTGAGTTAATGGCATACTGTTTCTCCAGCTCTGTCCAGTTCACTGCTTTACTCAGCACACCCTACACACGCACACGCACACACACATGCACACGCACACACACACACGGTCATACTTACTGCAGGACAATAAGTGATTGAAAACGCACACAGAGTGGCCCCTGGGCTTCAATTTTAATCATCAAGAAAAAAACACGAGAAACATGTCAAAGTTTGAGCATTTCCTCAGAATTCATTGCTGCATTTGAGCCAGTTCATTCTAAAATTTAAAGGTCCAGTGTGGAGGATTTAGGGGTATACTGGCAGAAGTTGAATATTTGATATAATCAGTAGGTTTTCTTTAGTGTATAAACACCTTAAAATAAGAATCATTGTGTTTTCATTACTTTGGAATGAGCCGTTTGTATATACATAGGGAGCAGGTCCTCACTTATGGAAATCTCCATGTTACACCACTGTGTTTCTACAGAAGCCCAGAAAGAACAAACCAAATACTGGCTTTACATAGGGCAATTCGCATTTTCAGTCACCATAGTTAGCAGCACCACCATAACAACAGTGTCAGAAAAACACTGATTTTTGTGAACCTGCTTTATACAGCGTATTACCTGTTTTAAACACCTGTGGTCTCATTTGTAAAACAGTGCGTAGGATCCATACTAGGGCTGTGACGGTATGTATTTTTTCCCTATCATTTTCATTATCATTGAGACAACATGATGGATATCGTTGCCTACAGTAAAAGTGAACAAATAAATGTTACAGAAACCCTGAAGCTGGCATTTCTGCACGTGCATTTAAAATAAACATGTTTAAACATTAATTCAAAAAACGAGAGTCCTTTTTAGTCGTTTTAGAAGAGGTTTGATACATGAACTTGAGTGTGTTTACGTCCTGCGCGGAAGGATACACCGGTGAGCAACAGCTGCAGCTGGCTCTGGGACAGGTACGCTAGGTCACTTGGTAAAAGCAAACAAAGACACGACACGGCCGATATTACCAGAGATATTGGATAACGGAGATACCCCACCATAGGCTTATCCAATGTTAAGAAAACGGTTACTCTTCCTGTCTCCTAAGTGGGCATGGTTAGCTCTCCCTCCAATAAGAGCCTGTTCTCCCTCAACCCCCCCCTCCCCACCACTGTGTTGAACAGAAGCTCTGTGGATGTGTGTGTATGCGGATCGAGAAGCAGGTGGAATGAAAATACATTCTTCCTATTATTGCAGCCTATTGCTGCACAAAGCTTGGGCATTTTTTATTTATTACTAGCGGTAAATAACTGTTTGAAAACTAACTGTGATTTTACCGCCTGTTTATCAAGATCACGAAATCTCGCGAGAACTTGTTTTCTGAGACGGACAGGGCTCAAACAAAGTTAACTTTCTCTTGATCTGTGCGGATGAAAAATGCAGCTTTAGTGTCAGAATGTTGGTAAGATGTGTGGCTTGTGGAAAAAGAACACAATATTTACTTTAGTGACTAAAAGGAGAAAGAATTGACCATAAATTGTGATCACGTTCATTTTCCTCATTGACGACAATACATTCAGAGCTGCCGCAAGTCTCCTACGGGGGCGTAGCGCTGACGTCACTGATTCAGGAAGTGAGATGAGTGGGGTATCTCGCTTTATCCAATATCTCTGATATTACTCACTCGACTGAAAGCTGTCCATCAGCTCCTGCAGGCCTGGGTGTTTTTTCCAGTTTAACTTAGTGATTGCTGCAAAGTTTTCACTCCATGTGATGCACTCACTGTGGCAGTTTTCCTCCTGATGATATATCTCCCCAACGATGGTAGCACCGAATCCCATTCTGTGCAGCAAAATGATTCCACCTCCGTAGGAATATGTTAGCTAGCCCCGCAGCTACACAACCAGTCCTCCCCTGACCTCCGCCTCCCCTCAGCCCGTTGCTGCTCCGCCGCTCCGGAGGATTCAGCCTCTCTTTTCGCCCGCTCAGCATCCAACACCTGGGAGTTCCTCATCTGTATACTCCGGCTCAAACAGGTATGGCTCTGGGTCTGTGTCCGCTACAAGAAACTCCTCAAAATCGCGTTCAAAGTCGTCCATTGCAGCTACTATAGTCCGGAGATATCGTTAGGCTAAGTAAACAGCTGAGTTTTGTTTACAGGCTACATCTGTGCCTGTGCCTGCTCACTGGTGTATCCCTCCGCGGATCACAGCGCCAGACATACTGACCCCAGAAATATTTATCTCTGCTGACCCCAATGCTAACCGCTGAGACCCAGCCACTGGACGTACAGACACAAAAACGATATCCATCACGTTGTCTCACTATGAAAATGATAGCGAAAGGGCATAACTCCCTCCCTTTGGAACCAGATCCGCTGCCATGATGAATTAGCTTTTTTTTTTTTTTTTTTTTCCTCCTTTTTCTTTGGTGCAGTGATGACCACAGCCCTAATCCAAACTAAAAGAGTATGGCTGACAAAAGCTGAAAAAGGCGTGCACCAAAAAATACTCAGATTTATAAAACCATTTGTATGCCTGACAGGGCACAATATCCTTTTGTAAATCCCAAATCAACTTGGAATTGTTCGCAAGTGGATCACCCTCATATTCTACCCTCTACAGGTCCATATTCATTCATTCATTCATTTATTCATTCACACATCATAACTGTGTTACCTCATTTCAGCAATAGATAGTGACTTAACAGACATTTATCTAAATGAAAAATCTTTGAGATTATCACTGTAAGTTTTGCTTTTTAAGTTTGCAAAAGTATAAATGAAAGTGAACCTTCCTGCCAAATTGGTGCATTTTTCTTGATGGAGAGGAGCATTAAAAAAATAAAATAAAAAATAAAAATATTACAATAACTGATACCAAAAAAAATGACAACAAAATTAACTATTTTCAAATTTATCCCATGATAATTAAAATTTTCTTGCTCTGTAAAAATGTCCTATTACAAATTCATCCCCAAATATCAACATTTTAAAGATAAAATGATGCAATTTATTACTATTTATCAAATGTCCTTTGTCCGACATGTTGGTAAAACATTCTTTTAAGTCATATGAAAGATTTATAATACCTCTTTAAACTTAAGACCACCGCTACAGAGTTCATGTTCATGAGAAGAATCAAAGTACAAGCTAAATCAACAGGCCATTGGTCCAGCTGCACAAGAAACCTTCCTATGGCATCATTTCATATACTGTATTGTAGCCAATCTGAAGTGTAATATGGGTATCATTAGAGCTGATAACATTAGGCCTGAGCACAAGGCTCATTATTATTGTTCATAATCCAAACAATCAGGCTGCAGTTTGATTGCTCACTGTCACAGCTTCTGTCAACCACTAATGAGAAAAAACGCTTACACCTTAACTACAATGTTTGGTGATACTGTCAATTTTAATGCTGTTATAATGACTGAATGCTCTTATTGATCTATGTCAGGTAGAGAGAGGGTTACCGTGGTGAAGACACTGGAGGCTGTGGACCAGGATAAACATGGAATCAGAGGGATGGGCTTTGGCCAGTTAGTCACTGCCAGGGATGCCATCTGGACACAAAGACACACAAGACTTAATGAAAAGTATGATCTGTGGAAGGATTAGGTATTATATTGGACTCACTTGTATTTGTATGCAGGTTTGCAAGTAAAATATTTACTTTAATTCAAAGGAAGGTGCTGGTGATTATGGGTCTCCAGAATGGCACAAATGTTGCATAGTTATTAGTGTAATAACCGTGGAAAACATGGGTTTCCCCACAGTGTCAGAACATGTGCTGTTTTCGTGACTCACATATCCTCCCATGGAGATGCCAGTCATTCCCAGTGGCCAGTAACCTTCTCTCTCCAGCCATCGGAGAAGCACTGTTGACTCCAGGATCAAAGCCCCTCCCATCACAAACAGGTCTGACACATTCTTTAGACAGGACCGCCTAAAATACTCACAAATAATGTCCTTGTTAAAACTCAATTCATACCAGCTTTAAAGAAAAAGTCCATCCACTGAAAATCTGTCTTAGTACTTAACCATATTCCCCTATAGTCTTGCAGCCGACCGAGGGCAGTTTGTAGTTTTATCGTTCACAGAGAATAACAACCTGAATTTACAGCAGTTAGGATTAGGGATGTCCGTATCGGCCGCCGATATTAGCAAAAAACGTGCATCGGCATCGGATCGGACTGCGTGGAAAAATGCCGATCCAAGAACTCCGGAGTCGCGGAGTCCGATCCAGGTTTTCCGACCAGCCCAGCGCTCCGCGATTCAAGCAGTCCATTCCAGTAATCCGCTCCAGCTCTTACTATCAATCCACCAGGCCAGCATGCAGACGGCAGACACACATGGAGGGTAGGAAGAGTAGCGGTCAATTTAGTTAACTGACTATTTGTTTTCTGCTCTGGTTTTTTGAGAGTGATATTTTTATTTGGTTTACACTCTTACTGTTTAAGTAAAGAGCACTGATGGCATTGTTTTGGGCACAATTAGTGAAACTGGAGCCATGGATGGACTATTGCTTGTTTAAACAGTTGTACACTATTGTGTGTGGTTTTTTGTCCCCTCTGTTGGTCCCAGGAAACAGCAGCACCAGACTGGCACTGACACTACAAAAATAACTGAAAAGGAAAGGCTGCATTGTTTGTTAAATGTCAACAATGTCTTGTGGTGTTAATCTATTTTTTATTTATTAGGGGGCCAAAGCACAAATGTGTGGAGTCTTGCTGCTATTTTAATTTCAATATTAGACATTTTAAAGATTTCTTGTGTTGATTTATTTTCTATTTATTAAGGGGCCAAAGCAGCCAAAGCAAACCAGCTATATCTTTTATTTAATGTTAATGTTCAAGTTTAAAGTTTGTTTATTTAACCCTGTTAACAATAAACGGGTCAGTTTCTCATACCAGCTGTTGTGGATCATTCTACCTAACCCTATTAAGTAGTTGTTCTTGTTAGAGTAATATCACTTGATCAAACCTTTTCTAACATGACTGACAACAAAATAAGTGAATATGTATAATACGCGCTTGGATCGGATCGGTATTGGTATCGGCCAAAACTCAAGGCGGTAATATCGGTATCGGATCGGAAGTGGAAAATGCTGGATCAGGACATCCCTAGTTAGGATGGATTCCGATAGTTATGAGGAGAAAAGCATCAAACCATCCCTATAAATGTCCCAAATTACTCCTGAAGCATAATTCACTTCTCTTCTGATCCTTATTTTCAGTATGTTGCATTTGTTGTGGAGTTTTTCCTTCTCTTAACTGAGGGTGGAGGATAGAGGGTGTTGGATGCTGTGCAAGGAGTAAAGCCAATCGAGTCAAATTTGTGATATCTGATATTGGGCCATATAAATCCAACTGACTTGACTTAATTTAAATGAACTACTTCCATTGATGATGTGGAGCTACTGGGAAGTGTATTTAGCTTGTTGTGGAGGAACTGTGAGTTTGGAACATACTGAAGATATATCAACAGTGGAGAGGTCCGATGTGCTTCAGTCCAAAAAAACTTCTCACACCACTCCTGATAAACTGTAACTGCTGTGAATCCAACCTGACAATAGCTGATTGCTGACAATCCTCTTTAAAAGGAGCAAGCTACAAACTCTTTAAGGGCCCTGACACACCAAAGCAGACGCCGGACGGTCAGACGGTTGGACATTGGTCAATATCGGGCCATTGGTACGCATCTGTTGTCCTAGTTTTTCACAGTGTCCCACCTATTGTTGGCTCTCCTCAACTATTGTTGCCTTTTTTTTTGGCCAATTCAGTATGTTGAATCATGTTAGAGCTGGTGGAGCCTATCTGTGAATGAGATTGGCAGCTCAGCTTAGCACATGGCCTCATAAAAGTGAGGAATTAAATGAAGGACTAAAGCCATGAGATCAAAACAAACTTGTTATTGGGTAAGATTATTTTTTAGCCATTGAGCTGTTTAGCAGAAACAGTTTTTAACTGTTTGTGTTATTGATCACTGGCGCATGGTAAACATGCTTTGCTCTTTCAAAACTGGGTTGTGTTGCTAATGTGCAAACTGGCTAACTTGCATCTTGAATCCGTCCTGTCGGTCTTCAGGTTTCCCTTCTCTGAATGACAAATACAGACGACCGCTACCTGCTGCTATGGAGTTATTTCCTCTCAGGCAGACGCAGAAGGTACATGCTCATTGCTCATTGGCTGTAGCCTTTGTGGTAGGGCTGCACGATATTGGAAAAAACTGACATTGCGATTTATTTTATTTTGCAGTATATATTGCGATATTAAAAAAAATACAAGAATTTTCACCAGAAGACTTGAATAGCTCTATTTGGAAAGAATTAGGTTAACTCACCATGACACCATTGTATTCATATAATACCCTTCTATTAATCCAGGCTAAGGTCAATGGTCTAACATACCATACTCTAAAATAAGGGGGTTCATCTGTGAATGAATAAGATTGCTGATATATAAAAGGGATCCAGGAGGCCATGTCTCTGTACTCCAGATTAAAACAGAGCATTAGGGATATCATCTTTTTTATATCCAAAATAGTTCCATATTTCGGACGCTGACCTTCTTTTGGGGACTATCCTCCTTTACTGTTTCTCCCTCTTGCATGTCGCTCATTTTTAGTGTGTGACTGCAGCATGTGCATAAGAGGGGGAGGGGCTGCTGAGTGCTCAGAGAGGGAGAGACAGATTAGAGCTATTGATTCAAGGTACCTATTCAAGCGCTGGAATTTGTTATTTACTTGATAATGCCTGAACGCTATACAGGCTCCGCTCCATTAGTGCCGTGCTGCGGGTTCGGGTTGGGGTCGGGCTCGGTTATAAACGGTCAGGAAAATGCAGCCCGAGCCGCGCTCTAGAGTGCTCACCTGTGTGTGTGTGTGTGTGTGTGTGTGTGTGTGTGTGTGTGCGCGCGCGCATGTGTCAGAGAGAGAGGCGAGCGGAGCCGAGCAAGGAGCTTTCTTCAGAGCTGCTTTTCTGAAGCAAAAGTTTACATGTTCTAAAAAAAGAGAAAAGATTACATGTCCTGCGATGTGAGTATCGCACATACGCATATCGCACATGCGCACATCGCAATGGCGATGTTCAAACGATAAATCATGCAGCCCTACTTTGCAGCCCTACTTTGTGGTGCATTCAAGCGCAACTTTTTGGCTAAGACACAGGCAATGTGAGGCCATGTGTATATTAAATCTCAATTTTTGTGACAGCAACTGACGTGTCTATAGCACAAAGGATCACAAAACTGCCAAGCTTACAATCCCATTTACATTTTACTTTTGGCTTTTCACACAAATGATGTCTAGTCAGATTCCTAGTCTTGGTAAATCATTTTTGATCAGGACTCTTCTGGTTGGAATCTAACATGTTTATATTTCTCCAAGTGAAGTATCAAAACTACAGCTTCTGTGTCATCAGCATCAGCACAAGCAGCACTGCAGCTAACAATTAATTGGCCTGTTGATTAATCTGTTGATCATTTTATTGATTAATCAGTTAATCATTTAGTTTATGAAATTTAAAAAAAAAACGGTATTCACAAGAGTCGAATCCAGGTTAATGTTGAAGATAATGTTGTTGTTGTGGCCAACTAACCACCCAAAAACAAACATTTGCTGTAAGCAGAGAATCTGGAATTTTTGCTTGAAAAATGACTGAAACATCTAACCAATTAAGTAGTTGCTGATTTATTTGCTTTCTATCAGCTAATCAATTAGTCAGCTACTTGTTATAGCTTTAAGCATAACTTTCATGTATAACAAGCCTACAGCTATCACATATTCAACTGAATATGTGCTTGAACAACACCATGTAGTGGTGAAATCGAACATTCTCATCTAAATATCAACTACAGACCAAATGTACGTTCGAATTCTACGGCTACATTATTATACATTTTTACAAGTTTATGTAACAACATGAATATGGACCCATATAATGTCCTTAGATTTATATTCTAACTCCCAAATACTGATATCTGTATCAGCTTCAAAAATCCACTATCTTGTCTACTGTACTCTTATCTATACAAACACACTGCAGCGCCTTCTTTCTGTCTGAACTGAACTGAAAGCTTGCTTTTATCCACATCTGTCTGAAATCAAATACCCAACCAAGTGCCAAATTGGTAATCAATCAATCAATCAATCAATCAATCAATCAATCAATCAAGTCAGGAGTGTGTGAATGGGAGTTAACTTACAGCTGGTCTTTGGGTTTACGATAGCCATGTAAAAGTTCAGTCAAGGAGGAAAAAATGCTCACCATACATCAGTTTAAGACAGAGGCTCTCAAACTTCATCTGTCATGCCCCCCTCAGAAGCTTAAAAAGTTCATGCCCTCTAACCCCACTTTTTTTTTTTTTTAAATCAATTAACTATAATTAGGGTAGAAAGAAATAAAGAATGATCCATGTTGAATGTTAGTTAAGTAAAGGTCAGCATGATGGCATCACAAAAAACAAAGACAATAAAGTTTATCCAACAAAGCCAATTCATTCAATTTTGCTTCACTCCATATTTTTACCCTGGTCCAAGCCCCACCTGAAGTGGCCCTATGCCCCCCTAGGGTGGGCCTGCCCCACAGTTTAGTCCTATTTCCACCAAACACTTTCGGTATGGTACCTTTGGAACCAAACATAACCCTTCAGACATGGTACCCAGACCATCAGTCCACTCAGCGTTTCCACCGCAAACAGTACCATTACATGTGGGCGGAGTTGCTGTCACTCCCTGCTCCATCCAGTACTCACTGTATTTCCTCCTTTCAATCTGCACCTAATTTACTGTCCACAGAATGAGGCTGCACACAGACATTTTCAGAGCAAAACAGAACAGGCTGCAGTGAGAGTCTCTCTCCCTGGGATATTTAAAAATAGCGAGTTTGTGCATTTAGTCCTTCTCAGGCAAGCACAGGGGTTTTGTGTTGCCAGGGCCCACAGGAATGATGCTCCGCAATGCTTTTTTTCCTCCAAGTGAGGATTAGAATATATGCAGTTCATATGAAACATTCGATATTCATATACATAAATGCTTGAAGATCCGCTCATTACTAAAAGTGTATGTCATCCAAGAGAGACCATAAAACTAATGGAAAGGTAAAAGTTGTCACATTTTGAAATTTAAGGTGTGTTGATGGGTTCACGTTGTCAAATCACGCATTGAGTAACATCACAAGTTAACATTAAGCCTTAAAAGTTACGGGCAGTCAGCCCAATGAATTAAATAATTTTTTATCTGACTCCAGCTGCTGCAAAAGGCAGGAAAACATTCTTTCATTTTATAGTTATAGTTTACTTACATATGTAAAACTCTCCAGGATATGAACAGTGGTTACATAAGCCTCAAAACCAGCCACAACTCGGCCCTGAGCAAGAGTGACTGTCCACTATTGACCAATCACAATCACAGCTCAACCTTTTAGTACTCTATCTGTGTGCTAGGTACCCAACACAGGGGTCACCAAAAATGGGGATGGTATGGAACGATTCCATTGGTACCATCCACAACTTTTCACAGTGAAAATGGAAAAAGAAAGTGTACAGAACTGAACTGTACCATACTGCTTGGTGGACACGGGGCTTTTGAGAATCACTGGAAAACTATGGCAAGAAGATACAAACATATGACCAGAGGGTGGACTTTAGATATTGGTCAGAACAGATTTTGGCATTCTATCCTGCAGCCAGTGTCATGTGTGTGCCTGCTGCAGGCAATATCATATCCTCCTATGTTTTTATTGATTCATGTGCTTTTTCTTCATCATCTTTTTCTTTATTGTTTACCATATAGTCTCCAAGTACTACCATCTAGCACTTGGGTTTGCACTTGCGGGATCAAAATAAGGCTGTCAGGAAATCTTGGCCAGGGCTGCTTTGTTTTTGTCTGTTGTGAGTCTCACAAGCTGATGCAAGTGCAACATTAAAACACTGGAGTACCCCTTTAAGGGGCCGTAGACATGCTGCATCTTTTGAACACTCAGATTCATTGTTTGCAGTGTAGACGCACTAGCCTGGCGTTGCCAGACCCAATTCACAAAGCGCGAATGGGTCTGGACACGGAGTGTACATTTCCTCTATTCCCGAGAAGCAGTATGAACAGCTGTCACTCAAAGTGCCCCTTCACGCAATTGGAAAGACGGAAAACCAATTAGAGTAAATGAAACGTGTCACATAGGCTAACACAACGCCACTGTAAACAGCCCAGCATGCTGCAGCGGAGATTAACTGTGATGATGTCTGGGAAAGAGTGTTGCCGTTTTTGTGGATTTCCTCCTCGCTGTGGACTCCGAGTTGCATGGCTGTGATTCCCAGTTTGGTCGCTTCCCTGACCTGCTCCTCCATGAGAGCAACTAGCGAAGAAACAACAATAGCCACTGGGTTTTCATTGAGTCCCATCTTTTTCCCGATCAACGGAGCCAGTTGGTAAATTAAACTTTTGCCAAACCCCGTAGGAAGGACGGCAAACACATCCTTTTTTTCAATAAAAGCTTTCAGTGCAGCCGTTTGTTCTGCTTTTAAAGAAAATGTACATTCCAGTTCGTTCAACATATTTACCATAGCAGTTTCAAAATCAGTAGCCATGTTGGTTGTTTACGCAATGCATTTACACCGCTCCTTGTCCCTCCTATTCTGATGACGTGCCCGCCCCAAAGTAATAAACGGTTGTGACTGACCCGGTAAGCTGTAAACGATGCCAGAATGCGGCTTAATGATTGCATGGCCAGACTGATCTGCGGAGTGAAATCAAATATGAGCTTGCTAGATCAGGATGGTTTCACCAGGCTATAGACGTGCAGCAGGCACGCTCAAACGCCAGAGTGACATCGTCGGGGCGGGCAAGCGTTCCTAAGTGCCTATTTTTCAGGGTGTGACGGCTTCACCCTGAGATAAAAAGAGTTCAACTATTAGGAAACGCAGCAGTGCACACTGCATGTCATGTGACAAGGAACAATCAATCACAGCTGGCAGATATCTTTCCCATCTTCTGTGAATGTCAAACATGGTGGAGAAGTTAATCATTTTAATGCAGGGCTACCCAGAGCTTTACATCTGTCCCACAGACAATACTTTTGGCCTTATACACACTTGCAAAACAACGCCTGGAAAAAGATCAGCTCTGCACTCAGGATTTCTGGTAAGTAGGCTATGATATGGTGCTGGTTATGGTTGCCTAGCAACCTCAGACGCAACTTGCCTCCATGCCCTTGACAGTTGGCACAGAGTAGGCACAAAAGTAGCGCCCAGCGCCTGACCTCATGTGTTCCAGGTGGTTAAAAACGCAGCATGTGTACGGCCCCTACAGCATCAGAAACCCATCAAAATGAAATGCCATAAAAAAGCCTTAATCTAACCTGGAGCACAGCAGTACAAAGAAGTTACAGTTTCTCAGGGACTGTCTATTTCTAAGGGAAATTAACAAAAAATTAAAAAAGAGGTTAGCAGATGAGAAAATGCAACAGAAGGATATAATAAGGGTTCTCCAGCAGCAGTGAAGCCATCCCTGCCTCTTTGACCATGGGCCTGGCCATTAGGGTCCGCCGACGCCAGAAAAACTACACACACACACACACACACACACACACACACACACACACACACAAGTTCAAGTTAACATCAAAGTAATCTGTCCAGGGTTCCACTGCTACAAGGTGTTAGCGTCTAAATCATGATACCAGCTGATGCGCCTTTAAATTGGTTCCCATAGCAAACAAGAAAGTAGGGATGCACCGAAATGAAAATTTGTGGCCAAAGCCGAAGCCGAATAATATTAAGCGCTTGGCCGAATACCGAGTACCGAGTATCGTTGTTTAGTTTTTCATTCGTTTTTGCAGATGAACCCCCTCCAGATTAGTGTTGTCACGGTACCAAAATTAGGACACACTGTACGATACCAATGAAAATATAATAGTTCTGAGTAGTATAACGATACCACAGAGAAAATGAGACAAATGTGCCTTTTGTCATTTATAAAAAGATAAATCACTTTTCTATAATGCATCAATGATATTTCAATGGAATAAATTACTTATTGACTTATTCATACTTCAAAAACAGCATCAATAAGTGATTAACATAGGGGGGGATCAAAATAAAATAAAAAAATAAAATAAGAATCAACCAGCCACCCTCCTCCCCTGACAGTCCCTTCGTAAGAAACGAACAGTCCCTAATGTGAGGTGAGGTTTGTGGGCCATGAACGGCTTGTTTCTCCTCTGACACATCACGTACGGTCTGTGTTTGGTTGGCTCGGCTGTTCAGGTACTTCTGGGCAGTCCACAAGCCAAGAAAAGGATATTTTTGGAGCCTACCTCTCCGTCGCCCGGTAAGCCGATGGCTGCTGTAATTGACAGGAATGTATTACTGTCTGTCTGTGACCCCCGTTCAACCCACAACTGATGGGATTCGCCTTTTGTTTCTGCTGCTGGTTGAAATCTGTAGGCTGCTAGCACAGTGTGCTGAATGATTTAAGCCTATTTTGCTCACTCAAAACTATTTTTAGTCATAAATGTGAGTCCGGTGACGGGCGGATCGCCACACTGCCGACATTTTACTCTGCCCGTCATGGCACGCTGTTTGATTGCGATATCAAAACACACCGCTATTATTCGGCCTTGCTTTTAACTTATTACACTGAATACCGAATGTGTGGTTTTTTTTTGCAATATTCGGCCGAATATATTCAGTTACCAAATATTCGGTGCATCCCTACAAGAAAGATGGTCACTTGGTCAACACATGTACCCAAAACCAAACACTAAGGTGGTTCCTCAGTATGATTTTAAAAAAGCTTCAGTGTTATTTCAAATTGAAATATAATGTCTTAATACTGTCACTATTTATATAATAAAGCTAATAGAGAAGAACAATAACAAGGGAAACAAGGCCAATATCAGGAACTCATCTGCAACACAATTGGCCATATCTCATCATTTTCTGCCTTGTGGAATTAGTAATGTTATGTTAAGACTAAAAGGTTTAGTGCCTTACATGGTCTCCAGTCCCTGCCAGGTGGACACATACTGGTCTGTTCTTCTGCCACCTCTTGGGAACTATAAACTGGAACCTGAAAGAATACACACTGTAAGGACTGATAGAACAGCACACATACACATTGCAAATGATCAACATGTTTTCTTGAATTTTCATTTGAATTTTGTTTTTTACATTACATTAGTATTGGATCCATCATAATCCTATTTTGGTATTTTTTTAAAAAAAGGAAAACTCTCCCTTTACAGGTTCCACTGATCACAGCCAGGGCTCATATCCACCAATGTGACATAATGACATTTAGCCTCAGAAGAAGAGGGTATCGTTATGTTCTGTACCTGGCTTTGACAGCCTCTGGTGGAAGGATTCCAGGAACCAAGTGCTCCAGGGGAGAGATAAAGAATCCTTCGTGGATCTTACAGTCAGTATGCTCCTCTGTCTGGATTTAAAGGCAAAAACATATGTGCATATATGTAATAATACAACAGCTACTTCTACTTGTAAGCAATGAAGAAAGAACAGATGGCGTACCTTGTTTATGTAGACTGGATAGTCCTTTGGCACCAGATACCTGCACCTCTCTCTGTCTCCAATGATCTTACGAAATTCAAATATTCTGCACAAATACAAACAAGATAGTATAGGTAACGTAATAAGAAGTCAGATGAATACAGCTGGATCTTTTAGATTCTGGACATATAATTAAAAAAGCTGACTTTATAGATGCAAAGTGGAAAACCTACTACTTTCTAGACAAAAAAGCTTTTTCCACCAACAGCTTACAGTGTAAATAGCAAGTGCTACCTCTTCTCCAGCTATCGCTGGCGGGGAAGCATAAAAACCCATTTTGTTTCACTGTGACCACATTTACTGCTGCATAGTATTGATATAATTAATGAAGAATGGGTGTATAGAGATCTGTAAAAGGTTTCAAGTGATTTTTGGTTTCCTTCTAATTTGGTTGTTATAAATAAATATACTGTAGCACTACACTAACAAATACAGACAAACAAACACTAAATCAATGCAAGCTTAATGGGTCATTCCATATCAACTCACCTAGACTGAGTAGACAAATTTAAAGCAAGTGCAGGCTAATTACACCTAAAACAGCTGAGCTATATTTCACTAAAAAATACTGCTGCTGATGCAAACAAACTGTGACATCATCTGTCAAGTCAAAACATCCACTTCTCAACTTCAATAGTTCCTTGTCTGTTCTCATCTCAGCTAAACTTGAAATATCAACTTTTCCATTACTGGAGGCTGTCTTGTGACAAATGGCTTCTTCTTCCAAGCCTTTTCCAATAAAGCAGGGCTCCATGACCACATCAAACTACTTCATGATTAAATGCATTGGGTGTGCTTACTGCTGGGTATCTTGCAATCCATTTTGCAATAATCTGCGCAAACCTGTTTGAGGTGGGATCAGCCCAGACTTGCTTTAGTTTTTTCTAGTCAATCTAAAACACAAAGAGATAGAAACCTTGAAGTTCTATATGTAACAGAACCAGAGAGACCCAGTTTAGGATATTGCATCGCTTACAGATTACCCCCCAGCTGAGACATAGGATGAATCAGAGTTTGACAGAAATGTGCCCTAAGTGTCATGTGGAGGTGGGGAGTTACAGGTACTGTGTCTGGTCATGTGTTCATATTGAGGGGTACTGGGTAAAATTAATGATAAACTCAATTTGATTTTCGATGTCCACCTTGAGCCTGGGCCTCAGGCTCTGCTCCTGGGCTTACCCAGCCGTCATATTAAAAGGCTCTCATCAAAGAAGGCTGTTCAATATTCTTACATTCACTGCCCTAAAAAATATACTGCTTAAATGGATTGATACTGCACCTCCTACAATTATAGGATGGCACAAACTGATATTTGAGCTAATACCAATGGAATATTTAACATACAAATTCAAATGTAAAACTGCAGTTTTCTTTAAGACTTGGACACCCTTCTTTAAATATGCTGGTAAAACACTTACAAATATTGTCTTAAAGGGAATGACTGACTGCAGCACTGACACTTGGCAAAATGACATCTTTGGGTCATAAGGTTCGATTTCTACTTACTTAGTGATTGATTGTCATTTATTTATTACTCATGTATTTTGTCTTACGAAATTTTGTTGAAAATTTCAAATACTTTAATTTATATAAGTTTGTATCCTTTTTTCACTTATTTCTCTCAAAATGGTGAGTTGTTGCATCACTATCACTTGTAATGGGCTGAGCGCTTCTATGTGCATATGTTTATTTAGGTGCTATGACACCTCCCACGGTACACCTACACAATTGTATGCAATTATTTTTCCAAGTAGGTTGTGGGCTATGTATATCTTATGGCAGGGATTTCAGTAAGATGTGTAATTTCTGTGGCCACTGTTTGTAATGTGTTCATTTTGTATTTTTATGAAAAAAATCATAATAAAAATAGTTTTTTAAAAAAAAAAGAAAACCTTGAAGTTGACATAGTACAAATATCTACCAATGAAATTATGAAATTAAACAATTACAGCCAATGAAAAGTATATATATAAAAAAAACAAAACAGCTTTTAAAAAAAATTAAAAATAACAAAATGATGAGTAATGAAGTAATATAACATCTTTAATTTTTTTAAATATATGTTTGGGAAGTCTGTTTCAGTTTGCTTTCAAAAGGACACCCATTAACCAGTAACCAAGCGGGTAATTTTCAAGCAAAAAAAAAAAAAAAAAAAAAAAAAAAAAAAAAAAAAAAAAAAAAAAAAAAAAAAAAAAAAAAAAAAAAAAAAAAAAAAAAAAAAAAAAAAAAAAAAAAAAAAAAAAAAAAAAAAAAAAAAAAAAAAAAAAAAAAAAAAAAAAAAAAAAAAAAAAAAAAAAAAAAAAAAAAAAAAAAAAAAAAAAAAAAAAAAAAAAAAAAAAAAAAAAAAAAAAAAAAAAAAAAAAAAAAAAAAAAAAAAAAAAAAAAAAAAAAAAAAAAAAAAAAAAAAAAAAAAAAAAAAAAAAAAAAAAAAAAAAAAAAAAAAAAAAAAAAAAAAAAAAAAAAAAAAAAAAAAAAAAAAAAAAAAAAAAAAAAAAAAAAAAAAAAAAAAAAAAAAAAAAAAAAAAAAAAAAAAAAAAAAAAAAAAAAAAAAAAAAAAAAAAAAAAAAAAAGGGCCTTTCCTTTCAGTCCAGTGCTCCATTGCCTCAGTGAGCTTAAGCGCTGCACTTCAAAGTGCTATCCATTCAGAGGTGATGAAATTTTAATGTTTTGTGATGTAAATGTCTTGCATTTTATTTTATTTTATGTTGGCTTTGCTGTCAGACAGCCAACTAGTTGTGTTAACATGGAAAAATACCCACCGCCTAACCATTACGTCTTGCTCTGGATAATAGGCCTCATGATAAATTATACATTGTACAGCCATTCAAAAACATGTCTAAAGAGATATGACACATAGCTTGTATTGTCATGTCTGTGAGTAGGAGTAAATGAAAGGATGTTTTACATCCAAAATTTGACTTGGAACAGCTTGATGAATACTGGCCCTGAGAGAGACTACAGACCAGACCCAGGATATGCTGATGGCAGACAACTTGGCCAACCTCCAGGATAGTTAGAGGAGGCTGCTCCCTTGTATATGATGACAAGTTTCTCTTCACTCCTGATATTTCTAGTTGTTGTGTTCTCTGTTTTGTTTTTTTCATACCTCTTGAGGTCTTCAGGCTTCCCCCATCCCCCAATGAAGAGTTTGGTGAGGAGCAGCCTTCTGTAAAATACATCCAGTCGGCTCACACCCATGGACTAGCACCAGGCATCTACACAGGAAGACAGACACTTCATTCAGAGTGCTGGGGAAAGCCTTTATCAAACAAATGGCTGGCTAACAACATTGAGTGTCTTGCAGTTTAGGAGGCACTTTTGTCAAGGTTGGTGAGTCCAACCTGAGCTAAAAAGAAAACAAATACAGGACTTACGTACAAGGTGGCCAGAAACACCACTTTAAACCCTAGATTATTTTATTCATGTTCATGTTTCCGATTCTTATGGTTTATTTTAAAATCGATGTGGTCTGATACTGATGACGTGTCAATATTATCATGCATCCCTAATAGGAATTCATAAGAACTTTCAGTAAACGACTAAAGGGAAATGTTTTAGGAAAGGGCAAAGTAAAGAAGCATTTTTTTAAATGCCTAATGACACCACAGGCGACTTTACCATTTTCTGTTCCATAAGTTCATTTTTGTTCAGAGAAGGATCCTCAAAATAGTTCGATTTTAAACATGCGTTTCATACATAATGTTGAAAGTACCTCACTAGTTATTTATTGTATAAATCATACGTATAAGGTATTGACGGCTCCTGCACAGCACAGGAGAGAAATGTGCCTTCAGGGCTTTCTGCCAGAAAGCTTTTCATTTTAACCCAAGCCATTTGTCTTAACCCTAACTAAGAAAGTACTGCACTTTGCTTTCATACAATGTCAACTCTCATTCATTCCTCTGCTGTTGGGAAGAAGAATAGAAGAATCGAATAGAGGAACAGAAGTGAAAAGATGAAAATAAATAGATTTCTACCAGAAGAAGACTAACTTCTCCTGCTGCAACAAAATCTAAACAGCACCTGGAAGCCCCTCAATGCAGAGTGCAATACAGGACTGTGCTCAACATGGGCGGAGTCAATCATATGACAAGCACCACCCTTGGTTAGTAGGCCAAGCTGCTATGACTGCTAGCTAGCTGGCAAGCCGCTACTCTGCAGTCCCTCTCCGCTTTACTCCCTGCCTTTGCGACTACCTCTAGCATCTCAAATTCAGACAGCACTAACCAGACAACCCAGTGTGGGGGTCACAGCAGGCTGGTGGCCAACAGCAGTGCTTGGTCTAACCTGTGTAGTGCCACAGCAACACAAGCTTGCTGATCCATCAGGAGTAGGGCTGCAAGATATTGGGAAAAAGTGACATTGCGATTTTTTTGCCCTCAGTGATATATATTGCAATTTATATATTTTTTTTAAGGATGCATTATTTTCCACCAGATGACTTCAGCAGCTCTACTTGGTGAGAATTAATCATTCTGGAATTATTGGGCTGATATTGCTTTGAATGCAACAGCATAAAATGTGCTGAAAATAGGCACTTGGTCAGTGAAACCACCATCTCTTTCAGTGTTTCCCCTATATGCAACTAGCAGCGGCGCACCACCCTTCTTGTTTTGTCTTTTCTTTTTTACATCTTAGGTCTTTAGAAACTACCGTTATATTATTTGGCGCACGGACGCTTCATATAATAACATTACACTATTTATCGTGTTATACAGTGAAACGTTTCACCTTATAACGTGATGACTTATATTGTTTACACAATGGCATGTCATTTCTGTCTCTATATGGTCCGATGCCATGGGCCCCAACACGTGTGCGCGCACACGCACACACACACACACACACACACACACACAGAGAGGTGAGCACACTACAGCATGGCTCGGGCTGTATTTTACCAAGTCCGAGACATTTATAATTGAGCCAGGCCCGACCCTGCAGCACGGCACTGTGCACACAGTCAATGGAGCGGAGCCTTTGTTGCGTTCAGGTATTGTCACATAAATAACAAATTCCAGCACTTGAATAGGCTGTTTATTCTTTATTCCACTAAATTAGACACATTTTGTTGGTCAGTCATTAAAACGGAAGCAAGTTTTACGCGCATCACTTGGCAATTTACACATGCATGCTTAATTTATTAGGGCAAGCCACATAGCAAGCCCCACGATGTAAATATTGCACACGTGTGCATCGCAATGGTGAGGCAGGAGGGTCAGGTTTTGCCTGAATTTGAGCTGCTACAGCCGCTAACTGAAGGTCTGTCTCCAGAGCTGCTGTCTGCTCTTTTTCAAGCTAAGTAGTTTCAAATCGGCAACCTGAGACTGAAAAAAGAAGTTAATGTGGAAGTACCAAAAACTGCACTTCTTTGAATGGCCACTTGAGGCTGACTCCAGAAGCCAGTCAGTCCCCACTCACCCCCATGTTAAAATGCCCAACTTGCCCAAAATGCCCAACGCCCATTAGTTTTACAGTCTGTGGTTGTTTCATAGGCAGGAATGAGGCGAAGGGACCACATTATTAGTACAGCCTGTCTCCGCAAAATATGACAGCTACAATTGTTTGAAACATAGTAATATGAAATCAAGCTCTGAATTTGATTAATGTATGTATTTCCTCACGTGGTGTAGGAGCAGAGCACAGCCCAGGTCAGAGGGGCTGGCTGGAGGTGAGAGGAGAGCAAGGGCCCGTAGAGCATGTTGGAGAACCACAAGAAGGGTAGGGGGTAGGGATGCAGACAGAGGTATGAGATGAACAGTACAATAACCGTCTAAGAAAATATCACGGTTTTACGGAATCACTGTATTACAGAATTTATTATTATTAGTCAATATGACCCTTAAAGGAATGAAAATGGAAGGGTTATTTTTGGTTGAACAAACATTTTATACTATAATTGAAACTTGAAACCATTTTGTTAATATTAGTAAGTGTATAAAGTCTCCCCTTTGAAAATAACTAAAACAAAGGGAAGTTTCAATGTACAGTTGCATTTCTTTTTTTCCACTATCGTAGATAAGCAGATGTACACAGTATGATAACCATCAACTTTTCCTGTCATGGTATACCTTAAAACAGGTATGCCACTAAAAACCAAACCTAGCAGGAGGTCTGTGGTACAGCCTCAAGCATGCTCAATGGGCCCTGACTTGATGCTCAGCTGCCTGGCTCTATCCCACTGACTCTTGGCAGCCTCCAGCAAGCCACACTGACCCAGATTGTGAGGACCAAGAGGACCATTTGCAATTACAACCTTACTTCTTCATATGAAAGCAGTGATATATTACAGACAATAATTACTTTGCAAATGGTGTCATATGTTTTCGAGGTTGCAGTGTTCATAATTTAGTACTTCATACAGTACTGAGGTCCATCTTCAGGTGCCCAGACGGGGAGGGCGATGTTAAGCGTGGGCGGGATTAAACATTAGACCCCGCCCACACGTACACTGCAGCGAGGGGTACTTTGGCTGGTATGATCATGTTATAGTTCACATGCCGCTCGGAAAGATGTGCACAGGGAACAGAGCAAAGATAATACGATCCACCTCTTGTGGGACTGCAGTCCTGTCAGAGTGGGGGGTTAAGTTTTTGGTAGCATTTAAGTGCGATAAATACAACGTGGTGAATAAAGCCCTGAGCTATGTATGGCTACTAAAGCATGGTACTTTGAAAGTTGACATAGACAAGTCACACAGCAGACAACAATGCCAATAATTACCTCGGCTGGAGTATTCAAAATGACAAAGCGTGACCTTTGTCACAGTAACGTTCACAAGGTTACTATTACATCATACCACCGCTTATATTGTGGAATACGAAAATCTATTACATTATAGCACGCAGCAGCTCTGAGACAGGCTATAAAACTAATATTTACCTGTTACCCTAAGTTGAACTTAGCAAAGTCAGCTAACATAGCCTTGGTCATTCATTGTTTTTAGGGCGATAGAGACGGACAGACGAGCATACAGACAGATAGGCGGAGAGTGAGTGAGACAGACAGACCGTTGACAGAGACAGTGATAACACTACCTCAGACTGTACACAGACGTTTGTTATCCTTGCCGTGGATTTCTTCGCACTGCTAGCTAACAGCTAACTTACGTTAGCGTCCTTAGAGGGCGAATGACAGGCAGTGGAGCTACTGTCAAGTTGCTGCTAATGACAAGGAACTTCCGGTTACAACATTCTAAATAAACCTGTTCAAAAAAGACCTCACATTATGTTAGAGGGTACAATACAACAACTTAAAAGACCTCACATTATGTTAGAGGGTACAATACAATAACTTAAAAGACCTCACATTATGATAGAGGGTACAATACAACAACTTAAGCGTTTGTAGACAAAAGTAGGTTGTGTCTGGAAAAAAGAAAGAAATCCACAAAACTATGATGTAAAAGGAAGCATAAGAGAACAAACGCGACGGACAACTTAAAAACCTCAAGCAGTACACTGTAAAACATGAAGTTCACATAGGCTTACTATGATGTTATTAGGGTCCGGGCAGCTAAGCTGCCAGGATACTATTGTAATCCTAAGTATTCTTCTTCTTTCTTCTCCCGAGGAAATCATACTTTCCATGGGTGTAAACTCACCAAACTTTGCACAAAGGTCCAGTCTCATGCCAGATATCCTCAGCTGTAAACTCAAGCCAATAGTCCTGATGGTGGCGCTACAGCAAGCGTCTAAAATTCAAAACTTTGAAAATTCACAACAAATCAACCATACGGGCTACAACTTCACAACTTTCATCAAACTGTAGCCCCAATACTGAAGAAACCTTTGTACATTTAAACCTATTAAAAATTATGAAGTTCATCACTGTTTTTTTCAAAAACTGTAAAACTTCTTAAACCTATCTCCTCCCACAATTTTTGCTCAATTGACACCAAACTTGCTACAGAGCATCTTCAGACTGTCCTACACAAACTATGTTTCTCAGATTTTTGATTTATCAAAAATTGAGCCTACAGTGCATCAAAATGTTTGACTAAATGGTACTGTAAACATACATGCAAATTCTTGCTAAATAAATCTTCAATGTTCATGAAAAAAATGACAAAATTCTAGATGGTAGATGATGTGTGGCAAATTTCAGAATTTTATCTCAAAAACTGAATTTTTTACAGCATTTTGAATTTTGCTCTAATGTGAACAATTGGAGTCAATGTAAAAATGGCAATTTTAAACATCAGTTTTTCACTTATGGAGCAAATCAATCATTGTTACAAACAAATTACCAACATCTCCATGCTGTCTAGATGCAATATGTGTATTTTCAGATTTTTGTTTCAATAGCTGAATTTTTTTACAGTGGTTTGAAATCTGCTTTTCAATGCATGGACAGCTGCTAAACCTGCACATCTGGCTTAGTCAATTTGTGAAGCTACACATGAATTGTCACTGACTAATTAGCTCAGTGAGATAGAAATTGATTCTTAGTCTCAGAGATTGTGAGTTCAAGCCTCAGCTGATGCAAAAGGCAGATTGTGTTGCTAAATTCCTAAATGTCTTCCAATTCTTCTGCTTGATGATCAGAATTGCCTAAAAATGCCCGGACCCGACCCATCGCTGCGCAGCAGCTATAATTGTCATTGTTTTTGCTCTCTGTCAATCTGTCTGTATATCTGTGTCTTTACATTGGCCTAGTGCAACTAAAATATTATATGACAGTGTTATTAAAAGTATTCTACAGAAAGATTGCTAAAAAAAAACCCTCAACATTACTTAATTGACGACAAAGAAGACACGCTAGCATAACATTGGATTTCGTTTAGATTTAGATTATGAACATGACAGTTTTCTGTTCTCAAAAATGGAACCTTACTTTCACAGAAAATTAGGTATATAAACAGTGCACAGCAAGCTGTCAAAGAGATTTTGACACATCTATTTCATTTTAATTTATCTTATTTATATATGTGTTTGAGAAAGTTTTCTCTTTGAATTTCTCATAAACTCTAGAGTAAAACTGCATGAAAATTGATCTGGATGTAATGGGGGTCACCTACAACAAGAATCAACAGAGAGATGTATGTAACCTGTTTAGGATTTTTTTTAAATTAATATGTAATATGATGAAGCTTGGAACAGATTATGTTGTATTTTGAGCAGACTTTTTAAATTTCTCATCAATTCTATGGTAAAATTGCATGAAAATTGTTCTGGATGTAGTAGGGGTCACCTACAACAAGAATTCATTGAAAGATTTATGTAACCTATTAGGGATTTTTTTTCAAATTAATATGTAATATGATGAAGCTTTGATCAGATTATGTTGTGTTTTGAGCAGACTTTACCTTTAAATTTCTCATATATTCTACAGTAAAATCGCATTACAATTAATGTGGATGTAGTGGGGGTTACCTACAATAAGAATCCATTGAAAGATGTATGTAACCTATTAGGGATTTTCTTTAATTAATATTTAATATGATGAAACTTTGATTACATTTTGTTGTATTTTGAGCAGACTTTACCTTTAAATGTCTCCTAAACTCTACAGTAAAATTGCATGAAAATTGTTTGGATGTAATGGGGGTCACCTACAACAAAAATCCATTGAAAGATTTATGTAACCTATAAGGGATTTTTTAAAATGATATTTGATATGAGGACATTATGATTATACTATAGAGTATTTTTAGCAGAATTTACCTTTAAATTTCTCATAAATTCTATGGTAAAATTGCCTGAAAATTGATCTGGATGTAGTGGGGGTCACCTACAATAAGAATCCAAATTTCTCATGAATTCTACAGTAAAATTGCATGAAAATTGTTTTGGGTGTAGGGGTTGTCACCCACAACAAGATTATCCATTGAACAATTTATGTATGTAATTTATGAGGATTGTTTTTAATTTTATTTAGTGACAGGAAAAGGTTTTTTGTTGATATTTTCAATTTAGAGCTCCTTTAAAAAACAGTACAGTAGAAAAAACTTCTAATACCTTGTAATTGAAATTCATATAATGGGCAAGACAATGCACTGTTTATTTGGTAGCCTATATCAAAGGGAGAAAGGAGGTAAAATGCATTGCTGAAAAACGGGTGTCTCTGTCACTTCTGGCTGTTTTCACCATCCGTACGATAATACCACAAACAGATCTGCATTAAAAATCCGTGGCGCAGCTAGCTTGATGATGGCTCACAAATGACGGCTCACTTGACCGCAGTCCAACTCTCACACATCTGGCGTGACTGTCACTCTCTAACCATCAATGTCACTCTCTCACGCCCGTTTATGAAATCTCACTCCACCGACGGCGAGGCTGTTTTTTTTTATTCGTGCGCGATTCAGCCTGCGCCTGACTTCCTGTTTGAGTCATTTGGACTGTGCAAACTGACGCACCGTTGCGCGGCGTCCGTCAAAAATAGACCCGGCACGTATTTCTAGCGATGCAGAACGCCGAGCCTTCCGCCGGGTGCACAACCTATTTTTCCTGTTTTAACGGAGCGTTTACCCAACGCATTCCCCACCCCCAGAACAACGCCACGAGGTTCCGTCGTTGACAGACCTGGCCAGATGCGGGCGACTTTAGCGAAGTCATCTAGCAGAAGAGCTAGGAATGTCTTCCTGCAAAGACCTCTCATGTTGACTGTCACTGTACTAGGGCTGTCAATCTTCCCCCAAAATCAGATTCAAATTTTTAATGTTTTTTGTGTTAAAAATTTGAATACTATTCGAATTTTTCCTTGGTATAGGCTATAGCCTAGGCCTGCCACTGCATTTTTATATTTTTTTGTGTTATAATGACGTTATTTTAATATTTTGCATCACATGCAAAAGTGAGCGCCCTGTCACTGTCAGCGCAGGGCTGACAGGGCACCCTCCGCTGAGAGGAGAGGAGAGGGGCTTCTCTGACAGTCATGTATTTCCTAAAAAAAACATCTCTTAATGCACAGTGGAGCGCCGTTTTTTTGTTGTTGTTTTTTTTTTTCAAAATATTCGAACCTTAGTTTCCAACTTCGAATATGCTTTTTTTTTTTTTTTTACAATAATTCAAATTGTTTTCGAATAGCGAAGGTCGGTCTGACAGCCCTACACTGTACCAACTGAACTGAGACGAGTTTAGCAGTGTACTATTGAAAGAGCTGATATAGACGCGAAATGGGCTATGGAAATGAGCGCAAAATTCGAAAATATAGGTTAATTATCAACCGCATAGAAATCAACATATGGTAAACAATCACTTTTAATAGTGGAAAAAAAAGCTTATGCTTATTTTTCTTTTGCATAAATAAGTGAGATATTGTTTGTTTACAACTGCAATTGCAATTTATTTCCTACCTCCAGCACCATAACTTAATACATTCAACACATATTGCATGCATTTAAACAGTGGAAATTCTTATGTCAATACAGAGTGTTTCTCCATACTGCAATGCCATTAGCGCATTTGATGACGCGTCTGATGACGTTTCAAATAATGTCGCATGTGCGACGATTTGCGGTTGGCTGAAAAATGCAGAAAAATCATGGGACTTTGGAATAATTTTGTTGAATTTGCATTAATTATTGTGATCGCAAGGTCGCGATTTTCTGGAGGGACTGATAAATGTACAAAGGTCATTGAATTCCCTTGAATTTCTCTATTTCTGTATGAAATTGCATGAAAATAGGATTTCGCCGTGTGAATTTTCAAAATTTTCTCGGGGGAGAACCCCGCTAATCCCCCCTGAAATCTGTCTGTTTGTCACAACAGGACATATTACTGGATTTTTTAAGCAGATGATCAACACTACCATCAGAGTACAAAACAAATATTGAGCGTCTATGGACATATGTGGGGCTTAGGCCTATAGATATGAATATGTAAACATACACATTTCTTCTGTTTGTCACATGTGCATATTAAATCTTTTAAGGTTAAAAAAAAAAGTGCCACCATGTCCACGTATGTTCATGACCATGCACGCACAAGCAGATATTACTTCACAAGGTAAAATCTCACTCCGGCCCTCTGACCAAAGTTGGCAACCCTGCCTTAGTGGAGGGAAAGATCGCTAGCCGCCAAGCTAATTTATACAATGTAAAGTGCCATAGGCTTGTGCTAATAACATTAGCATGTTGTATTTGTGGGGAAAATGTGTCCAGATAAAGACAAGTGCTTTGTCTGTGACTGCTGTGAGTTATAGTGAACCCAAT